GACCTTCTCAGGTGCCCAACAATACCAACCCATGACACATGGTGCGTGTGCCTTTCTCTCCAGTTTTGAGGTATTTAAAGCTGCTGCTTTTTTTTAAAAAACAAAACAAACCATGGTTCTTTTATCATCCACCAAATACTATCAGATTTGACATGAACCTGCACCTCATCTGATGTGCTTTCTGTATTGATCTCCAGTTCTGCGAACATAATAATCTTGCTTACTCATTAAGATTAATTACTTATCTTTAGCATCTCATCTACTTGGAAGGGCAAAAAAAATCCATTGCAATCCAGTTTCTTTGTATTTCCTGATGTTTTTTCCTGTGTGCTGTTGACATTTTTTGTTTCAGGGAAGGAGTGCTTATTCTGATCACATCAGCAAGTTTAGACAAATTAATTATCATAGTTCCTGTTTATACTGTCTTTTTTGTTCTAAAAAACCTCATCTTGAATTGTTCAGAGGCTGAAGGTGCTTCCAGACAGGGACTTGTTGGAGGATCAGTGCTCCTCATGGATGCAGGTTTTCTGCAGTGTCATCTTGGGATGAAGAATGTCAAATTTGTTTCTCTCAGTTGCTATTTTTCCAGTCTTAAATTCACTACTCCACATTTCCACTGCAATTTTCAATGAAAAAAAGTTATAAAGGTTTTCCAGCACTTTTAAACAAATTTATTCTAATAAACACATTTTTGGATGAAGTTTAGACTAATATATACAATTTCCGAAGCAATCCTAAGAATCCACATACTGTTTGCCTCAAAATGCCAACCTGTATTTCTTTCCCCATTTCATGTGGATTTACCCCTTCTAGACAAATTCTAATAAGTCAAAACAAAAAACAAAACAGTTGCCAGAAACCTGTTTGGAATATCTCACTGACACTTCCCATCTGGAAACCCCTCAATCCCAGTCCTCCTGCTTTGAACCTAAAGGGTTCTGTTTTAACTAAATACCTTCTAACTTTCAAATGCTACTTAGGCTACATGTTTATGCCCACTATGCCCACTGCCACAACCCTATGGTATTTATTTCCCAGGTAATCATGCACTGGGGTGCAGTGGCGTAGCTAGCCACTTGGGTGCCCTGTGTGGCGCGTGCATCCTGCAGCCAGGGGTGGGACGAGCTGCCCATGGGGGCAGGGCGAGCCAAGGCAGGGCGCGCTGCTTGGAGCCTCTCTGCAGCCTCCTCCTCAGCCGTAGGGTGCAGTGGGCAGCCACAAGCCCTGTGCTACTCGAAAAAGCAGCGCAGCGCTTGCAGGCAGTCTGCCCACTGCTTCCCCTTCAGGAGAGACGTGTGGCTCACGAACGCTGCAGGCCCCACGGTGTGGCACTCAGTGCCCTCAGCGTCGCCTAGCTACCAGTGGCGTAGGAAGAGGTGGGTGGTGGGTGGAAGAGGTGGGTGGTGGGTGCGGGAGTTATTTTTTCCAAAAAAAAAAGGTTGTGAGCCCAATTTTTAAAATTCTATTTTAAAAACACATATTTTTGCCATTTTGTCACCCCCCTCAGTGATGACACCTGGGGTGGACCGCACCCAGCGCACCCCGCTTCTTATGCCACTGCTGGAGTGTGCCTCATGTTAGGTACTGTCTCTCTCGCTGTTTGTTTTAGTTGTTTATTTCTCTTGGTCATGTGGCCCATTCTTTAGTGTGGTGCTATGCCCCATGCAGGGAGTGCAGTTGAGTTCTTTTGGCACTTCTCCCCAGGCAGCTGGCAACACTGGCTTGGTGAGAGGGAGTCCAGACCTGCTGTAATTCACCCACCCAGTGCTCTGCAGGGGTACCCGCTTTCCTGAGCTCCACGTCAATAGTCGGAAACAGTGAATGGCTTTCCTCTTCCTGGCCCGGCTTGCTTTAGATTATCAGCAGGATAAAGAGTGCTCTCAGACTTTCTGTCAGGCCTCCTAGCCCCTTCTCCCTTTCTTCCAAGTGGCCTTAAATTTTGCGTGGGAATTGTTCTGAACTATGGTCACACTTCTCAGCCTAGACTCAAGAGCTAGGTTTCACAGCCAACTCTAAGAAAGTGTCTGGGACGTCAGCCCTGAGGCACTGTGCACATGATGCAATGCAACGTAGGAGCACTTAACATGTTTCACAGTTCCTCAGCATATAAACCCTTCCATGTGAGTTCACCACACACGAGGTGATGGGATTTGTGCGATTTCTGATTTTACTGTAGGAACATGTGAATTGGTACTTGCTTCCAGAACTTTTGAAAACTGAAGTCAGTAGGTTATACTTGTGTATTTGCAATTCTGCGTCCATGTACATTAACACTGTATAACCCAGAGTGGCACACATCTTCTGGGCAACACTTGAAATAAGCTGTGCTCCTGACTGTGTTGCTGATACATGGGCATTTTAAGTGTGGAGGTGGAAGGTGGGTAGAAATTGGCTAAGGAAAGGTGGTTTGGCAGCAACATTGGACTTCCTCCCAAGCATATTTATTTACCCAAACAGGCGACTGCTATTGTTCTCTGTCTAGCTCCTCCCACCCTCCTGGCCCAAGCTTAATCCTGTGTAGACTAACAAAAAAAGGGGTCCCACAGAGCAACATTATGCACTAGGAGGGTAAACATAAGGAAGTAACCCTTCCTCAACCCTGTAAATGCAAGCGACCATGTTTAGGCTCCATGTAGCGTTTTACCAGGCCCAGGACACACGGTGCAAACAAAGCTGCATCTCATTTTTCATGAACACATACATGAATCCAGCTTCACTCATGCACCATTTTACGTGTTGTGATCTGTGTATATGTGCAGCTTTGAGAACAGCCTGAAGCAGTCATGTCACACGTGTAAGGGTTAAACAGAAGCAGAACTACAGGTCACAAAAGGGGAAAGTTAAGCTCAATATTATTTTAGAAGATTACAGGTCTAGTAAATTTGCCCACAAGGCTTCAACCATAAATGAGGATATTTACCAAATAATGGGCTCATCCACACTGGAGTTTATTCTGGATTCGAAGCTGCTTGTGTCTTTATATTTTGTATGTGTGTTGCATCCACACAATAGCATCCTCACCCAAGTAGTAACCCTCACTTCCCTCCCCCTGTGAAATCCAGATTTTACTGATCTGTGTCTAATCCAATAAAGGAATAAAATTCAATATAGAATCATATGTTAGCATATATATATATATATATATATATATATATATATATATATATTACATGTGTGATGTTTCACTGGGTGCCATTCATTGCCCTACCCTTCCATTTTGTTTCCATCAGCCCAAAGAAAAGGATGCAGTCTGCCTTTTCCCACCAGTGTGTTGCTGAACTCACAGTATGGAACATAGGTGGTCATATTAATTTCAGTTACTGCTTTACTTGAACCCAAGGTCATCTGGAGCAGTGTTTCCAGACTGTGGTAATATATGTTTTAAATATTTTTTGAGATTTATTTTATTTTATAATTTGCTATTGCTACTTTGGACCTCCTTCAGGAGGAAGGATGGGATGATGATGATGATTTATTATCTGCCCTTCACTAGCAGGTCCCAGAATGGGTTACAATAACTTAAAATTTAGTATTTTTAAAAGTTAAAAAAAATAGTCACAGAAACATCACAGGTTTCAAAGGTGTGCCTTCAGCATTTGCAGAAAGCTGTGTAGTGAAGTTACCAGACACATCTCTGTGAGGAGGGAATTCCACAAAATCATCACCACCGTTATCATCATCCTATAAAACCTTCAGCAGGTACTGACCTCTGTTTAGATCATATTGACATCATAGTTATTTGGTCATGTGAACTGACCCTGAGAGTGTTGGGAAAGTACATCTTTAACAGGTTTGTTTGACTTGGCACAGAAGAGGGTCATCATCCCCCTCTCCCCGTTGATAACTCGGTGGTACATGAGTGAACCTGGCTGATCCACAAATGATGGTTGTGCACAACAAGACAGGCTAGAACTTAAGGCAGTACTGCCCATCCGTTGTGATCTGCATGTCTCTGGTTTCCTGTAGTGTGTAAAAAAAGTTGCATAGCACTGCTGTAATCACAGCCGTGCACAACTTCCAGAGGCGGACAGTTCCCCGGGCTGTAGATTAATCAACTTCAGGACTCCATGATACCTTCTTTCCTCAGCAACTGTAAACTGTTGTTCCTGACTAGGATCTAAAGAGACAGAAAGAAAACCACTTCTCTCCCAGACTGGGAGCAGCTTGTTCCTTAGCCTTGGATTTGGAAAACATGACTAAAGGGAGTTTCTTGAACCCTGAACACCAGTGGAGTGTCTCTTCATTTCAAGCCTCTCTCCATTGGGAGCTCAGTCCAGCAACCTCCCAGTGCATTGCTTCCTCCTGCAGGAGCAAGAGACAGGCAAGGAACAATGGGTGGAGAGCAGGAAATGGTGCATGGGAAACAGGATTTCATGTCATTGCTGTGCTGTCTGTGAGGGCCTCTAAGCATCCCTCCCCCAACAGACTCCATTCCTGCTCTGGCTGAATCCCAGCCAAGAAAGTTCTTCCCACTGACTCACAGCTCTTGCTGTGCCCAATCCATTCTCACTCTTAATCAGTTCCTGAACTGCCCAGAGGTTGCATGTGCGTGCGTTTGTGCACCCCAGGCTGAAGCACCCCAGGAAGGCTTTCCAAGCAAGCATGGAAGAAACAGGCAGGTCATAATCTCTTCTGCAACAACACGTGGCAGTGAACAAAGCGCTGGAACGGGTGGAAGGGCCTTGTAGGGGACAATCTGAACTCCCAAGCAGGTGGACCGAAACTCAGCCAGAGTTTCTTTTCCTGAGGCTCGTAACATACACGTCAGAAAGCTGAAGTGGGATTTTCTAAACCAGAGAACCAGAATCTGTCTTCCTCATGGGGTGTGTGTGAACTTCCTTCGAGCTACTCTGACCCATTCAAAGCAATGGAAGACACAGGAGCATCAGGCATAGAGGACGCACTCTGCAAATGAAAAACAACGCAAATGCCCCCATCATCTTTGCCTTTTCTGGATCCGTGATGTCTGAGCTCTCCTGACACTGTGTATACTCAGGAAAATGAGACTGGGCAGGCTTTGTGTTTTAACTCTCTTCTTGCATCTGGCAGGTAAAGTCCTTTTCCCCCCTTAACAGGTTGGTGGGAGGTGGGTTGCTATTGGTTTTGGTAGCAGAAAGAATGGAACATGGAGAAGGTTGCAGAGCTAGTGGTTACAGCTCTGTGCCAAGGTAGAACTTACGCTATTGAAGTCCAACAGATCGGGGCATAGTGTCAGTAGAATGGTGCCACATAATACCTTGTTCCGCGTTTGTAAGGAATCAGTCTTTTAGTGTGGCAGCACCCTATCTTTGGAACTCCCGACCTGTTGATATCAGGCATGTGCCTTCGCTGTACTCTTTTTTTGGTGTCTGTTAAATACATCGTTCAGACAGGTAGAAGGTTGGTGTATTTTAATCTGCTTTTAGGTCATCATTGGTTTTAATTACTTTTTAAATGTTTTATTATCTTTTAAAAAACCGTTTTTACTGATAATTTTATTGTTTTATTCTTTTTGTAAACCACTTCAATGTTTTTTTTGTTGTTTTCATTTTCATAAATATTATGAAATTAAATAAATAAATAAATAAAATGGGGTGGCCATCCCATCTGGTGATTTCTGGACAGGAAGCCAAAAGCTACTCCTATCTGGAATTATACTGGTATTCATTACCGTATATCCAATTAAGGATAGGTAGTCTGCAATTTGTCTACTCAGCAAATTGGGGGACCACTATGAAAATACCCAACAATTACAGGTAGTACTGGGAGAATCCTTGAATGGCATACAAAGGGGGCAATCTTGTTTAGAGCTCTGTGAACACCCACCTTTGTTGTGCTGCATTGCTTCATATGTAGATTGCTGCATTAGCTACCAACAGGACCAGTATTTGAATCAGGTTGACCACCCTCAGCAGTAGTCAGCCCTGTTTAATTGGGTGAGGAACCCCTGGTGCCACCAGAATGGTGGGTCTGGGATTTAAACGTTTTCAGAGATGCTGTTATGTGCAGCCCCACGTGCTGTTTCTGCAACATCCTCTTTGTCTCTCCCAGCTAAGAGTGGAAAATCTTAGCCATATGGTGAGCGATGGGCAAATCATTCAATTTATGATCTGTGTCATTTTTTTTTTTTTTTGCATGAGTTCACTCATAAGTCCTTTCTATCCCATTTTCACATTAATCTCTCATATATGTGTGTGGTGTCGTTTTAGTTTTAAAAAACTACATGGAGTTCCCATCTAGATACATATTTGAGGGCTCCTCCAATACCAGTGTTCTATCGTGAGTGTCTTCTGCAACATGTTCTGGACACAAAAATAGTGTGTCGGTAGTGGATTTATTTTTTTTCTATTTCCTAGTTTGTTCTTTGTGACGCTTCCCCAATGCTACCACATTATTGTTGTCCGGGAAGGTTATAGCGCAGGAAAAGCAGGACAAAAATGAACTAGAACATTTGTGGTATAAATAGTTACACGGTGTCAACAGGCAGTGGCAGGATATGCACTGATTGGAAATGAAACTGGGTGACCACCCCAAAACTTCTGCAGGCCAAAACAGTATTGAAAGCAGGATTATGTGTGACAGCCCCAACAGCATCACAATCACCAATAATCATGAATATGAAATAAAAAGGACATCTGCAGGGGTCCTTATACATATTTTCTTTTAAAATTCACACCTTTAAACATACTTTAATACTATTGCTGAGCTAAGGTCTGTGATGGAGCATTTGGGGAACGCGAAGAGCTGATGGGTAACTAAGTTCTGATCTGCAGATTGGTCTGATCAGGTTAATCTGTATTCACAAAGACTGAATTCCATGGCCATCTCCAACCTTTCCCATCCAGGCATGGAACACAGTGAATAGAGAATGGAAGAAAAGCAGTTTTGGTAATGCCAGTCAGTGATATTCCATGGGCAATGGGTGTTTTGATATCATTCTGACCGCCATTTGTGCTACAAACACATGCTTGGGTGATAGAAAGAAACATCATATGGCTGAATGCAGTTGTTACAGGAAAATTGGGTGATACAGACATTGTTGGCTTGGGTTTACATGTACATTTCTTTTGTCTCTGTTCAGATAAATCTTGCAGAGTTTCGAACCACTGCAATGCCCCATGAATCCCTTTTCCTCATAAGAGAGATTGCAGTGAGTGGACGCATCATGTCTGTCTCATACCATCATAGCCTGGAAAAAGCTATTGTGTGTATCCAGTCCCAAAAGGCCACAAATGGATTATTTATAGCCCTGCTCTCTAGCTAAGTTTGTGCATTGAAGCTATACTCAAGCCTGTGTGCTCACATGTTTCTTACTAACAGGAAATAGCTTCTGAGGTGGGTAGGGTGGATTTTTCATTGGGAAAATAGCACAGGTAAAAGGGTTAACCCATACTGTGAAATGAAACGAAATGAAACAGCAGAAAGGCAACGTTTTCTGTGTTTCATCAGAATATAATTAGCCGTTTTCTGAAAAGTGACATCAGAACGTCATATCTAAGAAAGGTTAATAAGAATTGCAAGCCTTCAGGGTCACACAAGCATAATGAGAGAGACAATCTGATCAATTCAAATATAAGGGTGGCATTCCAGAATATATAATGTGTAGTAGAAGTATTCTGATAATAGCATCATTGTTATTACTGAAAAGATTTCTGGATTTCTATGCTGGGAATAATGTGTGACAAACACATTAATTGTCACATGGTGTGTTTACATTTGTGTATTGTGATGTATGTACATGTAGACAGAAGAAGGTATGCTTAACATGTAGGGATTTTGTCATATTTGACAAAATAATAGCCCAAAGACTATTAATGTGCTATCTCATCATACAAGCGATCTCTATGTTCCTTTCCAAATTCAAACAAATACACGGATAAATATTTTAAGTGGTGGTATAATGATTTGTTTTCAAACCTGTACTGTATGTGTCCCGAGACAGAATAATAATATTGTTTTTAACATATTAGATAAGAACTTCCTGCTGTGTTGTTGAAATGGCAACAGAGTTGAGCACCATCCACTGTACCTTTGTATTAAAAGAATTTGTGTATGTGTGTGCGCACACACACACACACAAAAATACAAAACAGTTCTACACACAGAATCTGTTATTAGATGTAAGCAATGAGGTATACATATACATATTCAACTTATCAACAAAGATTCTACGTTCAGTGGCTCTTCCCAGAAAGAGATGGTGATTTACTAGGGATTTACTAGAGACAATGTCCCTGTTAAATAGGAACAACTGGAGTTTATATCAGTCGAAAGAAAGCACATAGCTTCAGATGTTACTTTCATGAAGATGAAACACAAATATGTCACAGATAAGCAGTCCCTGGCTACTTTCACCCTGAGTGAAGCTGGCCCTCACAGTGGGAGAGTTCCCTGCTCCTCTTCTAGAGCCTAGGCAAGGCCTGGCTTCGATTGTGTGAATTATGCTGAGATCGTTTGCTCTCCCTGTCCTAAAATAACACCTTCTCTTGTCCTCCCGATGCAGGAGCAATTATGGATATCACCCTGATGGCCAACGTCTTGAGTCCCTCACACACCAACTTCTACCTCTCGTGTGTGACTGGTGAGCGAAATGCCAGCCTCCAGATTGACAGAGACAATAAAATTGTCATGACCCACCCCAGGTCCAGATTCCAGATGTACAAGAACAGCAGCCATGCAGTGCAAATGAGCGGCTTCTCCCGGGCAGACCTGGTGGGCATCACGTACTGCTTGGGGCAGACTGAGTCAGAACAAACCAGGGTGGTTTATGTGCACAACAATGTGGATGGTAAGCTTGAGAGAGATTCAACATAACACTGGAAAAGATAATATGCAGATATGTGGTTTCTGAGAACTGGGAGCGATATGTACTTTGAAGTTATTCTTTCTCAAAGTTAGGTCCTTACATCATTGTGATAAGACCAAGGCTAAGGTAATGGAGTCTTCTCTCTATACCCTCCTCAGACCCAGACCCTGGGGTCATTCTTGCAATTTGTTTACATACCAGGACAAGGAAAAAGCAAAAATGAGTATTAATCAATCTAGGGAATTCATTTCGTTTTAGGCTCAGCCAGATAAATGTGTGTTGGGGTGTGTGTGTGAAATTGATTGCAGCAACAGTGCAATGTATTATTATTATTATATTTTTATTTTTATTTATACATACATACATACATACATACAAACATATATATATACCCTGCCCCTCTGGCTGGGTTTCTGGCTTGGTTTTCAAAAGAGGAATAGATGAAAGAAGCTAGAGGGAAAAACAGCAGGTCTCAGCAGTGAGTGGAAAAAGATGTTGTCTGTATGCCAGTCTACCCATAGATGAAAAGGAGGTCCACAGCAAAGAGGAAGACCTGGAAATTTCTCTGAAGATGGGTCTGCCTAGGCCTTGTCACCACTCGGTCACCAGCAGAGGCCGACCCACAGTGATAGCCTCATGGAAAGAGCATCATTGCCACTTACTGGGAAGATGGCTGTGAAGGCATGGCTGCATAGATGCACAAGAATGACTTCACTGCTGATATCACTGCCAAGAGTCTATTGTTGTAGCTCCACCCCAATGGGTGAGCCACCCCTAGTCACTGGACTTAACAGAAATGGCAGACCTGTTCTCTAATACTAGGTTTGTTTATTTGTTTGTTTGTAGTATTTACTTTGCCCCCTTGCTGTAAAAAAAAATCCTGCCGACATCTGTGGAAGGGATTCTGGCATATTTTATTTATACAGTGGTACCTTAGTTCTTAAACTTAATCCGTTCCGGAAGTCCATTTCAAAACCAAAGCGTTCCAAAACCAAGGTGCACTTTCCCATAGAAAGTAATGCAAAATGGATTAATCCGTTCCAGACTTTTAAAAACAACCCCTAAAATTTAGCATGAATTTTACTATCTAACAAGACCATTGATCCATAAAAGCAATAAACAATGTACTGCAGTCACACAATAAATCAATCAGTAGCTGAACTAGGTTCCACACAGTCACAAAAACAAAATAAAAAAGAGCCGCAAAAACAGACAGACCTTAGGAAAACACTCAAAATGGAAGTGTGGCACTCAAAACGGAGCACTTTTGGCTTCTGAAAATGTTCACAAACTGGAACACTTCTGGGTTTGCAGTGATTGGGTTCCAAGTTGTTTGAGTACCAAGGTGTTTGAGAACCAAGGTACCACTGTATATGATTTTCATAACTGTTGCCTACTAGTACTCATAGAATGGCATACACAGATCTAACCATGCAGCAGATAGGGTATCTGTCTTGGATGCTTTAGTTGAGATTCCTACATTTCTATAATTCTATGAACTTAAGGGCACACATTTCCCCTGGTATCCTACTACAAAAGAATTTCTGGATGCTATGGTGCTAGTCAGTCATTAGTCATATGAGTGATTCTTATTGCCGGGAAAAGAGACATCAGTCAGATAATTTAAACAAAGAACCCAGGAAGAATATCTGAAAATTGACTAGATTTTCTTATCTTAGAAGGCCTTTGAAATATGATAAACATTGATTTGGGTGAGGCGGGACAAAGACACCACTGGAAATCCAGGCTTTCTTACTGATACAATTTAAAGCTTGACTTTGGGAGATATGCTCATAAGGGAGGGTTTGGAAAGAAGAATAAGAATGATGTTAACGATAAGATGCAGAACAATCCTAACCCTAACATTACCTAAAATGGGCACATCAACTTTCACCTCACTTGTTGTATTTTAATATTTTGTTGGAAGCTGCCCAGAGTGGCTGGGGAAACCCAGCCAGATGGGTGGGGTATAAATATTATTATTATTATTGTTATTATTATTTTGTTCTGGACACTGTGAGTTAGTACCTGCACCAAGCCTACATGATCACCTTTCTCCTTGCTATATGTGTAGAAAATGCCACACACAGTTTGTTCCACCCTTGTAAGGATTTGCTCTTTTAGCCTGGCGGCCTTTGCACTCTGGAACTCCCTGCCCATTGACATTAGGCAGGCATCTTAGCTGTGTTGTTTTCTGTAGCCATTAAGAACTTTTTTGTTTAGACAAGCCTTCCCAGATTAGTGAAACTGACATGTATTTTATATATGACACGTATATAATATTTTAACTTTATTTTATAATGTGTAGTTTTAACTGCTCCTTTATTATTATTTTTAAGGTTAAATTGGCTTCAAATCTGACTTCTATCAATAATTTTAATGTATTTTTTATTTTAAGTAAACCGTTTGGAGTCCCACCCCACCCCTAATTAAGTGGTATACAGATTCCATTAAATAAATAGAGTAAAATAGGCAAATATACATGTTGAGCAGGATGAAGTGTTTAGGTAAGTTCTGGAAATCCCAAAGATGGAATGACAGATCTGGGCAATCCAGAGCATGACCCTCTGATGATCAGGGAAGAGCAAATATTGTAGGTCCTGCTTCCTAACCCAGTCTCTGTTTCTGTCTGACCCTGCAGCCAACCTCGTCCCAGAGAAAGTGACACAGACATTCAGCCTCTCCCAGCCAGCTGTACTTGTTGCCAAGATAAAGCATGGGAAGAACGCAGACATTTTGTGGAAAAGGAATGGCAAGTGCCCCCCTCTCCCAGCTGCATGGCTTTGGGGAGATCTGCCCCTGCTCCAATGCTTCCCCACCCCACCCCATTCCTGGAACAAGGCCCGCCCTCAGTTATCCTTGTCAATCAAAGCTGGCAGTCTAGGCCCAGACCTGCCAGTGGGCTTGCAGCTAGATGCCTTTGTGCTTCCTCAGTTCTTCTCCTACCCAAACTGCTCTGTCAGTGATGTCCTTAGAGGTTGCAGGAGCCTCTAAGCCCTGTCCAGGCCAGTCACAGGCTGGAGTGGATTAAGCCTTAGTAGGGTTTATTCAGAGTTCAGTTGTCAGCTCTCATGCTTTTCTTCCTCCCGGCCACTTTCATTTGCAGGGACCTACTATGACACCAAGGACCAGGGGGAGGTGAAGGAGAGCCAGTCCACTCTGACCCTGTCGCCTGTCAGCGTGAGTGACGGTGGGATTTACAGCGCTACATTCATTGGGGACAGTCCTTTGTCAAGTGCCTTCTTCCGGCTGATTGTGCGAGGTAAGATAGCACAGAACTGAAGAGATGCAGGTCAATAGGAGCCACAGACGTCCCCACTAACGTCTGTTTACATCCTTTGTTATGGGGTGGGTGTGATTCAGTGTCTCATCATTTAAAGACTCCCAGCTGAACATGTACAGCTTCTATTAAAAACTATTGTTTGAGATCATAAGAAGGCTTTCTCTGTGGTGCCTCTTTACCCATATGCCAGTCGTCACTTTAAGTTGCTGCCAGAGGGTAATGAACACATAGGTGTGAACTTACCCTGAGCATAGTGGCTGTTGGAGACTGTTAGTGACAGCACTGTGGTTAATGCTGCCTTGTGCTGTCCAGAGATCAGGCTTCCTTCCACATCTTCTTTAAATTTTATTTCATTATTTTATGTTTCTATCCTGCCTTTCTTCCATCATGGCACTCAAGGCAGTGACCAGAACCATACCTGCCTAGTTTCATCAAAGCAGTGGCCTCCTGTGCATTCAAGCAATAATCTGTCTGTCTGTCTGTCTCTTCCCAACTTCCCAGGATGTGCAGCCAAGAAATGGGGCTCTTCTTGTGACAAGGACTGTCCCGACTGCCTGAATGGAGGCATCTGCCACCATATTGAGGGAGAATGCATCTGTCCACCAGGCTTCATGGGCACCCGCTGTGAAAAAGGTTAGAAGCAATGTGTACATGGTCTTGGTAGGAAGAGATGCCTCTGCTCCATGAACTGCACTTGTAAATCTTCACAAAGAGTATAGATGGTTGCTATTTGAAACCTAGTTGGATGTTGGACCCTGTATCTCCATATGTACCATATGAGGGCCACATCACCTCTTGGTAGTGCACTGCCTGTGTTTCTGACTGATGTGCCCCTACACAGAGTCAGCCCTTTGTGTGGAAAGCACATAAGAGTACCTGTGAAGAGCTCATGACTAAAGCATGTAAATTTTCCTCTGCTTTGAAACTGGGAATCCAGCTGCAGGAGCTGCATGGCCAATGATGTTACCTGGCTGAACCCCTTTTGTTGTATGGTCTGCCCAGGAAGAAGAGGCAAGTTGGGTATAAGCACTACTCCAGCCATGCAGTGCAGTATCCAGAAGTGCATCAGATGCAATTCCTAACCCTTCCAAAACCTTCCTTTGAATGTGTCTTTAGGTGTGGGAGAAGCATTAGTTTTCAGTCTCCTAAACCTTAGTGTGCAGAGGTTGCAAGTGTATTCTTCCTTTTGAAAGTTTCCTGGTTGGGGTCAGGACTAATCATAATTGATGGGGAAAGCTCACATTTCCTTCTTGACTAGGCTGGAAAGACATGCTCTGTTGAATCCCCAAGAATAGCTCCTCAGACTTAGGCATGACTCCTTTGGCCAGTGGTTTTCAACCAATGTGCTTGGCAACCTAGGGTGCCTTGAATGACAGTCAGGGGTGCCTCTGTCCCTCTTTTCTTCCCTCCCTCCTCTGATGCCGTCTCACATCTCTGCCTCCCAAAGGCTTGCACAGCTGTTTGTTGCAGCAGCCCTAGCTACAAGCTCCACAGGCAAATGCTGCCTCTGGGGCTGGTCAGGGGACAAGGAATAAGCAAGCAAGCAGGTGAGGGAGCCCAGACAGCCAGTCCACTAGCCCTTGCTGTTGGGAATGGACATACAAGTCCCAGGCCGCTGTGGGGCAGTGTGAGGAGGCACCTCTCTTTGGGGGTGGGGGGGCAGCTCAGAAACCAGGAGCAGCAGCAGCAGCTGCCTAGAGGACTCCCAGGGAGAGGAGGCTGAGGAAACACTCCACAAGGGTGGGTGTTCAAGAAAGGGGGAGAGGCTGCCAGCTCTACAGGCACATGGTGACATAACTGGGCTCCTGAGCCCCACAGGGATGCTACAGAAAGAATGTAGTTGGTCAAGGGAGCCGTGGACTTAAAAAGTTTGAAAGCCTCTGCCTTAGGCAATGAAGCGTGGGTAGAAGGCCATGGAGTCCCAAATAGCCTTCACATCTCGAGTCCCAAGTCCCTTATCTCTGCAGAGGGATCAACTGGTGTTGTGTAAGAAAAGGTACATGGGTTTGAGATCTCAGTGGAGAAACTTGGCATCACAATAAAGAGGATTTATGGATTCATTGTAGGATTTGTTCTGATTGTGTGCAGATAGGGACACAGGAAGGAACAATGCACTGGCAAATGTAGTGCAGGGTTAGTGAACATGTGTGGCTTTGTCAGTACAGTGGCAGCAAATCCCTGACAAGAATCTTCTTGCCTTGCAGCTTGTAAGGAAGGCATGTTTGGGCGAAACTGCCAGGAGAAATGTCATAACAAGCAAGGCTGCAAGGGGCTGGCCTTCTGTCTGCCTGATCCTTATGGCTGTTCCTGTGCTGCTGGATGGAGTGGTCTTCAGTGTGGCTCAGGTATGTCCCCTGCAGTTTCTTTCTCCCAACTCTATGACACTTTTGGACACCAGGGTGATAAATGAGATGGGAAGGTGGGGGAAGCTGACCTACTTAGAAAGGCACAAGATGCAAGTGTATGGCGTCTGTTCCACAGAACCAAAGAAACTCCGTGCTGCCTTTCCCCTTGCTTTCCATGTTACATTTGGCAGCATAAAAACAAACCTCGTGTAATGCTTGGGGTGCAAACTTGTAGGCCACCCTTCATTAGGGCAGTTTCCAGCAATACATAAAAACACACCGAGGAAAGAAAATTAAATGTTAAAATAATCCAATTAATAAAACAGTAACAGAGCAACCGAATGAGGCAAACTGGTGGCTACTAGTTAACATAAAAAACCAGGAGAATAAAATTGTTTTTACCTGTCAGCAGAAGCCAAATTTAGGGCACTCCCAGATTGTCACTATTTTCGGGTGGGATTCAATTCCATACCAGCAAATTCAGGTTGCGTAATTATAGTTTACCGGAAGGCCTCACCGTATGAGACTTTTTGCATTAAGGAAAGTGATGGAGAATGCACTGGGATTGCTTGATTCAAAGTTGTATAACCTCCCTGCAAACAAATCAGAACAAACGCTCAATAAATATTGGGTGTCACCTAATCTCCCCACAAACTTTGTGCAAACAAATCAGGATGAATGCTCAACAAGCAGGTTGTCTGAAAGCAACCAGAGTCTCTGCCGCCTGGGCTTCCAGGGAAAACAAACTCCAGAGTTGGGGAGGAAACAATAAAGACTCTCTCATGCACCACCATCAAATTTTCATGTAGTATTTTTAAATAGTAAAAAAATGACTTAAGTTTGGTCCATTAATTACAATAGGTCTATTCAGAATAAAACATAGCTGAATCACACCCATGTCTTTCTTTAGAAGGGTGTGGTAGCTCCTCACCCACATGGCCATCATTTGATTGATTTCTTGCTAAGCTGAAGCTTCTGACTTCTTGTATGTGTTCAGAGCAGCAATAGGGATACATATATATAAGTGTAATGTGACATCAGATCTGATTAACATGTTACTTTTGGATAGGGTAATGTTACCATGAGGTGGTGTTTTTTACCCTTGTATGTTTCACATCGTAAAAATTACTTGTGAAAAGGCATTACCTTGAGAAAACTAATGTTTACCAAGTCTCATTCAAATGCTAGAATTTTTCTTGATACAAGAAGTGCCAGTTCTCAGCATACAAGGGAAGGTTCAGTGTGGGGGTGGGGAAACAGTCCTTATGTGAAATCAACACTGTAATCATTGTGAAAAAGGTAATACTGTATGAGCATTGGGGTCATGTGATCTCTCAGAAAGTGAGACATAATGAAGCCATGGGAAAGAAGAGCTCCTACAGGTGTGGCAAGGAGGAACCATGGATATTGGAACAGTACTGAGGAAGGCAAATTTCATTAAATTGCGTAACCAGAGTGCAAACTTGTGGTTTCATTGTTGTTACTACCAGCAAACAGCATAGTCACATTGTTTCCTGAACATCTTTACATGGAAAAGATGTTCAAGAACCCTCCCTTCATCTCAGACTCACAGTATTCCTTAGTATTTTTATTCGGTTTTGGCTACTTTCTCTGCTGGGACTCTGTTTGGCTCGTATCCAGGAGAGAGCCGCTTCCTCCCTTTGTTTCTTTAGAATCATTTCCCTCCTGCTTGGCTCCAACAAACCAAAAGAAAAAGGGGGTCCTCATGAGCAGGAAGTTCCATAGCAAAGAGAAAAGGCTCCTCCAGACTGAGCTGTTCGTTTAGCATTCTTCCTGGTTTGCTTCCACAAAGTACAATAAAGAACGGGCATCATATAACCAGTACAAAGTTCGTATGATGCCTACCCATTATTGAGCATTCATTCTGACTTGTTTGTAGGGAGCATATATGACAGTGGGAATTTATCCTGATTTGTTTGTGTGAAGGTTAGATGACTTCCCGTTCATCTATTGTTATGCACATTTTTCATTGCATTCCGCTCCCCCCGCCCCACCCCCGTCATTTTCCAAATCGCAAAAAGTCTCCTTTCTTGTTATTTGTAAAAGTGGGTTTGTTGCAACAGAGCACTTTAATCTACTTCAGTTCTGCAAACCTACATTTCTGGCATGCAGTTGTATCTCCCCAGTAAAATTAATAACATTCTGGAGGTGACCAATCCATTTTTTAAAAAGGAAGCCCACACATTTAAAACTGCTTTGTGGTCTTGCGTGCCTGCAAACCTACAATGGGAGATGGGTTAAAAGCAGCATACATGAAATCTGCCAGACATCCTTGACCCAGGCACACACACTATGCCTTTAAAGGCCATTCAAAGCCTGTCCCTCCCCAAAGAATCTTAGGAATTAAAGTTTGCCCTTAACAGAGTTACTATTCCCAGCACCCTTATTCAGCTATAATTCTGAGGGTGTGTTTTGACTGTGCCTTAAACGCATTGCTTGTATGCAGCCCCAGTCTCTGGGAAATGGTCAGAGGAGATTGACCCGCGATTCCTTTGCTCTTTCCCCAGCTTGCTCCTCTGGGAGGTACGGCGCTGACTGTGCCCTGGAGTGTCATTGCCAGAATGGAGGCACCTGTAACCGGTTCAGTGGCTGCATTTGCCCATCTGGTTGGCATGGACAGCACTGTGAAAAGTCAGGTAAAAGCACTCTGGAATGTGTATCATGGGAATGGCAGGAACCAGGCCCAGTGCCAGAGAACTGCCAAACGAGTACATGAATGGGAGAGGGTGCTGCATAGTGGTTAGCCATTGTCTGCCACCTAGAGACATAGCTGTCAACTTTTCCCTTTTCTTGCGAGGAATCATATTCGGAATTAGGGAATTTCCCTTAAAAAAAGGGAAACATTGACAGCTATGCCTAGAGATAAAGGGAGGCAGGGAATAAAAATCATATTGCCCTTTAAAAAAAATGCTATTTTATTACGATTGTAATGATGTTTTATCCTTATTCTGGTGTTCTGTGCTAAGATCGGATCCCCCAGATCAAGAACTTGGTCTCTCACTTGGAGTTTAACTTAGGCTCCCAGCCTGTAATTACCTGCATGGCAACAGGCAATCCAATCCCTGTACGTGAAAACATTGAACTGCGCAAGGCTGATGGAACAGTGATCATGGTAAGCTACCATCATGTCCTGGATCAGGCCCTGTACCATCCCAGAGACCTGGGCTTGCTCTTCCCTCTGCCTCTCTAGCCCCAACTTGCTCTCACCCTACTCATACACTTCGGTCTTTTTCTCTCTGTAATCTCCCTTTCACCCAGATCAATCTATGAGCACAGGGTGTTAAATTGGGTTTCACCCAGATATAGATGAGCACAGGGTGTTAAATTGGGTTCCACCCAGATATAGAAGAGCACACGGTGTTAAATTGGGTTTCTTTGTGTGGGTTTGCAACCCTACCTCTGTTCACACGCGAGGAGGATAAATCAGGATCAAACTAGAGGTTATGTTAATTATGCAAGTATTTGGGTGCTTAAGCACGAGTGCTTTAGCATAACAGTCCAATTGTCCTGACACCACTTTTCCTTCTGTTTATATAATTGCATGTGATCTATTCCCTTCCGTGTTGGTACTAGTAAGGATGGGGCTAGGTCAGTTGTCAACCCTACCTGCATCCCATGGGACTGTGGTTCCCCACAAATACTCAGAAACAGAAGACTTGAGACAGGATATGACTCTACTCTTCTCACCTCTCCAGTCTCTGAAAGCCATCATGGAAAAAGACTTGACAACCTGTGAATTTCAAGTGCCACCGCTGGTCCTCTCTGACACTGGCCTCTGGGAATGCCGTGTCTCCACTACGGGTGGGCAGGACAGTGGCAAGTTCAAGGTCACTGTGAAAGGTGAGCAGGACAGCGCAGGTGGTGAGATTTCAAGGTTAGAGATATTCATGCTCAGCTTCTGGGAATTACAAAATCATCACAGGAGGCATCTTTGGTTGTACAGAACTCGGTTACTGAAATGTTGCCACACAGTTTTTATTTTAGTACCCCTCCTAAGATATTCTGGAGTTCTTGTCCAGGCAAAATGAGGGTCTGATGTCTCTTTAAATGTGGTGTCACTTTAAATGTGGTGATAGTTTTCAAGCAAAGAAACCTAGAAGGAGAGCATTAATCAGAGACAGGGACTAGGATTGTGCCAGGTACCAATCAGGAAAATATCGCATGAGAAACATCTGGTACAAATCTGTCCTAATAGTTGCAGTCTTCTTTCTCTCAAGGGCAGAGGTAAAATGTGCAATCCCTTTGTCTACTTTCATGTTTGCCTGGCTTGTGATTGACGCTGTTCCCTTCCTTAGTGCCTCCCATGCCGCTAAGCCCTCCCAGGCTTCTAGCCAAGCAGAGTCGGCAGCTTGTGATATCACCTGTGGGGCGCGTCTCAGGTGATGGACCCATCATCTCCATCAAGGTTCTGTACAAGCCCCAAACTGGCACTTCTCAGTGGTCATCCATTGTAGGTAAGGGATTTGCTGTAATCCAGATGGAGTCGTCGCTCTAATTTGTGTGCTCCCTTAAATCTGCAGGGCTCTCTCAAACCTGTGCCTGCTCTGGCTTCAGTTCTTTTCAACTATACAGAAAGCGATCCAGACAGGAGTGTTGTGAGTAGATGATCTAGGAGGCTGAGCTCTGGGTCTTTTGTGCTGGACCCCAGATCTCCTGCCCTTCCCCCTTCATTTTCTTTTTATAAAAAGTTTTATATTTATAGAACAGCTGGGCACACCATGAAGTGCAGTGCCCATGAGAACCCATTGCCCTAGCCATCTAACATCTTAGTTCAGCTAGGGACATGGTGCATTTATGCACATTTGAGTCATTTAAGTAATGCTAGCAATGCTTCTTGGCCCAGGGGATTCTGCTCAACAGGGAAGCAAAATATTTTCAGCTCAGCCAATCATGAAGAAACAAGGATTCTCTCAGGCATATGCTACAACAGGAACAGGAGATCAGGCTCCAAAGTTAGGCACAACTCTTGATCCTGGGAATTGCAAACCACCACCACCCCAGCTACAGTTCTCATCTGCCTTAATAAACTGCAGTTTCCAGGATTCTTTGGGGGAATTTTAATTAATTAATTGTACCCCACACATCTAACTGGGTTGTCCCAGTCATTCTAAGTGGCATACAGCAGAATATAACAAAACACAGCAATGTACCAGACATTAAAAATTTCCCAATATAGGGCTGCCTTCAGACATCTACGGAAAGTTGTATAGTTGTTTCTCTCTTTGACATCTGATGGGAGGGCATTCCACAGGGCAAGTTCCACCACTGAGAAGGTCATGTATTCTGAATGTGATTAAATGTATTCTGTGGATATGAGGCAGTCCCTGTTCAGCAGATAATAGAAAATGGAGGGGACATTAGTCTGAAAGGAAAGGTCGCAGAGCTGCAGATCCCAGTCAAAAGGCCCTGCGCAGTGGGCTCTCTGCAGTAAACAAAAATATGGAGCATAACCTTCAGCATGAGACTCTACAGTAACAGACCCATATTTGATCAACAGTTGACCATGCTCAGAACATCACCCTAATGAACCTGCGACCTGTCACAGCCTACCTTGTTAAGGTTCAGCTAACACGCCCTGGAGATGGAGGGGAAGGCGACCCAGGCCCTCAGGCTGTCATGGTAACAGAGTGCCAAGGTGAGTACCTGAAGTTCAGTGAGCCAAATCTGGGAAGTGGGGAGATGAAGAATGCCCAAATCAAAAGAAGTAGATTCTGTAGTAGGCGTATGAGTAGTGCTAAGGATGCCTACAGTTTCTAATATCCTGGTTCCCGTATGGGTCTTCTTCAGCCATCCTTCCAGTCAGTAGAGATTAACCAGTAGAGATTGTACAAATACCTACTCTGGTATTCTACAGAGACCAGCTAAGTGCCCTGTTTCTGCCACTACCTCCTCTGGTTGGAGAACAAAATGCCAGTGCCCCATAGATGAGTGGCCCAACCTCTTCCCACCTCAGGGATCCAATTGCCTTCTGTCACAGTATATTACAGTAGAAAATTTACTTTGAGGTGGGTGAGTGTGTGTTAAGACCCTTAACATGTGGATAAACCAGGTTAACAAAACAACAAAGTTTAGCTATAACAAAATGAATGGATATAAGGCTCATCTTCTTAGCAAGTGCATGTTAACTTGTGTATAAACTTATTTCCACAGAGGGATGCATAGGATTGTACTGCCTAAACTATTCCCTAGCCTAAAATGTACAGTACATCCTATCTCCGCCCTAACCCAGACCCAGCAGAAAAAAATGTGTGTTTCCCCCCCCAAAAAAACTGATTAACTCCAACTACACTTTTGCAGCATCCCATTCTCTAACACACCTCTCTGCTTCCTCTTACTTTAATATACTATTGAAATATACTCAGAGTCGCAAAGTGATTTCATGCTCTTTATTCAGCTCATAGTGGTGAGGAGGAATGAATGAATGTCCCCTCACAGTATCTGCTTTATATACATTATTTACACAATGGGCTGCACATGATTGGCTAATTCTGGAATTCTACTGTAAGCCAATCAGGTTGTGGATTCACTTCTATCTGGAGCAGGATTGGGTGGTTCCTGCCAACCAATCATACTGCTGCATTGTTCTAGGACCAATCAGACTGCTGCATTCTGAATCCTATTGTTCTAGGACCAATCAGACTGCTGCCTTTTGGATCCTATTGTTCTAGGACCAATCAGACTGCTGCAGTTTGGATCCTATTCAACTCAGTACATAACACCCCTCCCCTCTAAGTTCCAGTCCTGCCCGGGAGGTCGCATTCATAGTCCTCAAGGTATGCCGGCGGCCTACGTGTGCGTTGTGGCCTGTGGTGTTCCCTGGTCCGGGCTCCGGGTTCTGGCTCGTGTTCCAAGGATGCTGGCTGTGATGGGGCTGTTTGGTCTGGTGCAACCGGCTCGCTCAGTCGTGGTTCTGGTTCCGGTGTCCTTTCGGCCTCACGGGTCCTCTCTGTATTTACTGATTCTGCCTCTCCTGCTGGCCCCTCCTGCTCTATGGGCCTCACTGCCCCGCTGTTCCCTTGGGACTCCTCTGACCTGTCCTCCTCCTGGTTTTCTCCCGGGAATCGTCGCCGTATCTGGTCGCAGTGGCGGCGCCAGCATTGCCCCCCCATCCGTTAGCACCTCGTACGACACGGGTCCAGTGACCCTGGTGACTGTGGCGGGTACCCATGCTGGGCCTGCCCCAAAATTCTTTGCGTACACTGGGTCCTGGGCCTCGAAGGTCCGGGGTTCCTGCCTTCCCCACCACTACCTCATCCTGAGCTCTATCGGGGTGAAGGCGGTCCAATCTGATTGCAAGGCGCCGACCCATTAGTAGTTCAGCGGGGCTCCGGCCAGTCGTTGAGCTGGGGGTGCTGTGCTGTGCTAGAAGGAATGTGGCAAGGCGGTACTCCCAGTCCCCTTGCGTCATGCGGCGAAGGGTGTCCTTGGTGGTCCGCACCATGCGTTCTGCTTGGCCATTGGTGGCAGGGTGGAACGGCGCCGAACGGATGTGGCGGATGGCGTTCTGCGCTGTGAAGGTTTGGAATTCTCCTGACGTAAATGCAGTCCCGTTGTCTGAGACGAGAGTGTCAGGGAGCCCGTGGGTTGCCAACAGCCTGCGTAGTACCCGGATGGCTGCGGACGTGGAAGTGGACGGTACCAGTGCGACTTCCAGCCATTTGGTGTAGGAGTCCACCACTATGAAGAATGTTTTCCCCTGAAAGGGGCCAGCGAAATCCACATGCAGGCGTGACCATGGTGCTCGGGCGGACTCCCAGGACTGGACTGGGGCCCTTGGGGGATCTGGGCGGGATTCTTGGCAGGCCTGGCAGTGTTTGACCCAGACCTCTATCTCTCCATCGATCCCCGGCCACCACACATAACTCCTGGCAAGGGCCTTCATTCTTACTACCCCTGGATGTGTCTCGTGTAGGGCTGTGAGGACCCTTTTGCGGAGGGGCTGGGGAACAACGACTCTGCTTCCCCATAACAGGCACCCCTTGTGGGCCGACAGTTCATGTTTGCGGGTTGTGTAGCCGGCGAATTCTGGCCCGGGGCTGCTGCTGGGCCATCCCCTCCACACCCAGTCCAGGACCCGGGAGATGACCCTATCTTTCTTGGAATGGTGTGCAACTTCTTGTGCCTGAATGGGGCGGTCGGGAAGCAGCTCCAGGCTCATAACCTCTTGTGCAGGTGCTGGGTCAGGGCCTGTTTCCGGTAGTGGTAGCCTGCTGAGGGCGTCCGCATGGCCCATCGCCTTCCCAGGTCGGTGAATCAGTGCATACTGGTAGCTGGCAAGGAAAATTGACCACCTGAGGACGCGAGGAGACAGCACTTGGGGGGTCTGCTTTTCGGGGGCAAACAAGCCAAGCAACGGCTTGTGGTCAGTCACCACGGTGAAGGGCCGCCCGTACAAGAAATCATGGAATTTTTTTACTCCCTTTACGATTGCCAGACCCTCCTTGTCGATTTGCGAGTAGTTCCGCTCGGTTGTGTTGAGTGTCTGGGAAAAGTACGCCACCGGTACCTCTCTTCCATCCGGGAGTTGGTGCCCCAGGACAGCTCCAATGCCATAGGGTGAGGCGTCGCATGCTAGCACCACCGGCAGCCTCTCGTCGAAGTGTGCCAAGACCGAGTTTGAGACAAGCAAGTCCTTGACTGCCTGGAATGCGGCCTCCTGGCGCTGGCCCCACACCCAAGGGGCCCGCTTGTCCAGGAGTCTGTGTAGGGGCTCCGCTACCGCCGCCTTGTGGGGAAGGAAGGAATGGTAAAAGTTCAATAGTCCCAAGAAGGCCTGAAGTTCAGTCTTGCTCTTGGGCGCTGGGGCATCACAAATGGCCCGTACCTTGTCCCCAGTCGGGTGGACCCCTTCTGCGTCCACCATAAATCCCAGAAAGTCCACCTGAGGCACTCCTAGTAGACATTTTTCCCGCTTCACCTTGAGACCCGCCGTCTGGAAACGGTGCAGAACGGTGCGGAGGCGGTCCTCAAACTCCTCTGGTGTGGGGCCGGCAATCAACACATCATCGAAGAAGGGGGTGACGCCAGGAATCCCTTTAAGGAGAGAGTCCATTAGATTCTGGAATATGCCTGGTGCCACGCTGACACCGAATTGCAGCCGCTTTACCCTGAACGCTCCTCTGTGCGTCACAATCGTCTGTGCCTCTGCTGTGGCCTCATCTACTGGCAGCTGTTGATATGCTTGGGCCAAGTCCAGCTTGCCAAGATTTTCGACCCAGCCAGGGTGGCAAGGACATGGCTGACCACTGGCACTGGGTATGCGTGGGCCGTGAGGGCCTTGTTTATGGTACATTTGTAGTCTGCGCAGATGCGGACCGAACCATTAGGCTTGACGGGTGTGACGATTGGGGTTTCCCAGGGGCATTAGGCACCGGCTCCAGCACTCCTTGCTCCACGAGTCGGTCCAATTCCTCGTCTATACGGGGTTTCAAGGCGAACGGGACCCGGCGGGCCTTGAGCCTGACCGGTCGTACTGCGGGGTCAAGCTGTAGCGCAATGGGGGGGCCCGTATACTGTCCCAATTTCCCATCGAAAACCCCTGGAAATTCCTTGCATATGGCATCCACGTCCACTTGTAAGCTAGTGTGGTTCACCCCGGTGACAGCTAGCCCCAGTGGTCCAAACCATGCCAATCCCAGTAAGCTAATGTAGGGGCCCTTGACCACAAGCAAGTCCAGTTGCCGCGTCCGCCCTCGGTATTGCACCCTGAAGGTCCCCACCCCCATTGTGGGGACCTTACGTTTCTGGAAGTCCCGGAGGGTGAATGGGGCCGGCCTGAGTTTGGGACCCCCAGTGGGACACAGTTTCCTTAAGGTCCTTGCCGAGATTATGGATAGAGTTGAACCCGTGTCAAGCTCCATGCGGCATGGGGCCCCCTCTATCTGTACCTCTACATAAATTTTCTCTACGTTGGGGTGGGGCAACTGGTATACCTGGAAGTCCGTGAGCTCCGTCGAGTTGCCTTGGTGCGTTGGGCCCCGGGACCTGGGGCTCTTGGATTGGTCATCTGATGCCTGGTGTCGGGTGGGCCGAGCCCGACACACCCGGGCGATGTGTCCCGATTTTCTGCACTGCCTGCACTCTGCGTTGCGGAAACGGCAGGTCCTCCTCTCGTGACTCTCCCCGCAGCTTGCGCAGTTCCCTCCTTCTCGTCGAGGCAGCTGTGGTCTGTGCGCTGCTTGAGTGCGCTGCTGTACTCGGTGCACCTCCTCCCTGTCGGATCCTGAGTCGTCGGTGAGGTCTTCGTGGTGGACCCTCGGTTGGGATGGCAGGCTCGGCCGTGCCTCTTGGGTCGACCTCTCGGCAGCTTCTGTTGCCAGGGCCTCCTCCAGAGCGACCTGGAACGTTAGGTCCTTCTTAGCGTAGAGGCGTCGTTGCAGCTTCTCATCCTTCAGGCCACCGACGAGGCGGTCACGAAGCATGTTCTCCAGCTCTGAGAAGTTGCAGAACCGGGCGGCTTGGCGGAGAGCGGTCACAAACCCAGTTATGGTTTCCCCAGGGGCTTGCCGCTTTGCGTAGAAGGCATTTCGACGAGCCACCACTGAGGGCTGCGGCGAAAAGTGCCCCTTCAGCTGTTCCATTATTGTTTTGTATGGAACAGTAGCGACGTCTTCAGGCGCAAGGAGAGCCCGGGCGATTTCAAACGTCTCCTCTCCGCAGACGCTGAAGAATATCGCCCTCTTCTTGGCGTCTTCTTCGTCGGTGACCCCTTTGGCTTCTAGGAGGAAGGTGAAACGGGAGGCGTATGCTTCCCAGTCTCCAGATGCTGGGTTGAATGGCGAGAAGCTGCTGTTGGCTGCCATTCTGAGTTCCTTGTGTCCCGGAGCTGAAGCCTGGATACACGGTGCGAGGCAGCGGTGCGGCAGTTGGCGGTGCTGCGGTGCTGTGTGTGGCAGTCAGCTCAGCGGGATCCCACCTTCGTCGCCAGTGAAATATACTCAGAGTCGCAAAGTGATTTCATGCTCTTTATTCAGCTCATAGTGGTGAGGAGGAATGAATGAATGTCCCCTCACAGTATCTGCTTTATATACATTATTTACACAATGGGCTGCACATGATTGGCTAATTCTGGAATTCTACTGTAAGCCAATCAGGTTGTGGATTCACTTCTATCTGGAGCAGGATTGGGTGGTTCCTGCCAACCAATCATACTGCTGCATTGTTCTAGGACCAATCAGACTGCTGCATTCTGAATCCTATTGTTCTAGGACCAATCAGACTGCTGCCTTTTGGATCCTATTGTTCTAGGACCAATCAGACTGCTACAGTTTGGATCCTATTCAACTCAGTACATAACACCTATCCTCCTAGATATTCTCCCTCACACCTATTCACACAGTGTTCATTTCAATTCATTCCTATCCTGTCTACTGTTGATTGCAAAGCCTCTGGGTAAAGATTGTTTCTCCTTAAGCATGTGGCACTAATTCCACCTTGTGTTGATCGTACAGCCCAGGCTGAAGAGAAATTGTCTCAGGATTTCTTTCTCCTTCGGTGCTGTTGGCAAGAGAATCAGGCTGATGGCTTCTTGTTTCTCTATTCCACACAGAGCCAACAGTCAAGCCTGTGATTGAACGCTCATTTGTTGAAGGGAGCAACATGTTACATGTGAACTGGATCCTGCCGGGTGGTGACACTGTGGGCTCTGGGTTCCTCGTCCAGCTCTATGATGCAGCCATGGAGCTCGTCCATCAGGAAAACATCACTTCCATGATTGTGCAGTCTGCCTACATTCCAAACCTTAAATTCAACAAGGAGTACAATCTGGTGGTGCTGGTCTATCACTGCACCAGCCTCGGACCTCCATCTGACCTCTACAAGGTCAAGATTGACAGCAAAGGTGGGCAACGGGATGTACCATCTGGGAGAAATCTGCCACTCTCAGAAGGGAGCAGGGCTGGGGATCAATGACTCTGGGGTGGATGGCCTCTGCAAGGTTTTACTCCCAGGTGATCCCGTACAGAACAAGTACTATGTCAGAGATGTCCCAAACGGCTTGATGCTCTTGCCTTCTTGGTAGACAGGTCTAAAATCTAATTAACTTGCCTTGGCATGGTGTTATGTGTTGCGGGCTCTAAGGTGCCTCCTATTTTGCAGGGATTTCTATTTTCTTCCAAGAGGCTTTGAACCTCTGTAAACTCCTCAGGAAGCATTAGCACATGTGTTGCCCTGGAAAACTGAGGGGTGCCTCAGGGACAAACCTACAGCTTGCTCATTGTTTCTTGGCATCGTAGTAGCTGCTGACCAATGTCCTCTCATGCCTATGCCTAATAGGTCCACAACTGCACTGTCCGCCAAGCCACAGACTGCATTCCTAGCAGTTGTGGAAGAGGTCGCAATTGCAGAGCCAACAGCTGTACCACTTGCCTCCCAGGTCCCTCATCCCCACGGTCTCTCTCAGCGGAGCCCCTTGCTGACAGCACTGTCAAGCTCACCTGGCTGCCCCCTGAGTACCCCAATGGTGGCATCAACAAGTACATTGTGGAGGTGCAACAGCTGGGGGGTACCAGTGAGCCACAGTGGATGGACACGGACAACGGCTGGGATACCACAAAGATCATTGCAGGGCTGAACACCAGCGCGTTCTACCAGTTCCGGGTGCGAGCCAGCTCTTTTGTACCAGGCGAGTGGAGCAAGCCTGTGAGAGTTGAGATCGTGGGTGATGGTGAGTGGACCAGGGGCAAGTTTGGTTGGCTGTCCCAGGGGGTGGGGTCTGAGTGGGACAGGAGGCAAGTAATGTGCGTGAAGATGCCTCTGTGATTCCTACAGTCAAAATGCAGGCCAGCCAGGATGCAGGTGCAACTGGCTCCTGGCAAACCGCAGCAGCAGCAGCAGCCACCTTGGCCTGGAGCGCTGATCTACCCTGGGAGGCAGAACAGTCATAGAGTCCGCTCATGGCAGTGGTTCTGCATCTCTATCATGTTGTGCAGTTGCCTTCTCCTCCTTCATCACAGAGCCAGGCCCTGTTACAAAACGCACTGCTTCCCTCTTTCCCGCAGGAGCCCTGAGCCAAGTGCCCACCTTGGGGAGCCAGAACTTACCTCCATCCAACCTGGACCAGCAGTTGCTCTTGGCCATTGTGGGCTCTGTCTCCGTCACCTGTGTGACCATACTCTTTGCCCTGCTGGCCCTTTTCCTCATCAAGAAGAACTTCTTTCACCGGCGCCGTACATTCACCTACCAGTCAGGCTCTGTGAGTGATATTGCCCTGCCCCACCTGCCTCTTCCCACTGATCTTGGCTCCCCACCCTCATAATTATTATGCTCCACTATGTTTGTGACAGCAGACTGTTGACCCACTTGGTTTGCAGTGCTGCTGCCAACCTCCCCGCTTAACTCATCCTCTCACAGGGGGAAGAGACCATTTTGCAATTCAACTCAGGCACGCTGACCCTGACTCGCCGGCCCAAACCCCAGCCTGAGCCCCTCAGCTACCCTATCCTGGAGTGGGAAGACATCAAGTTTGAGGACATGATAGGAGAAGGGAACTTTGGGCAAGTCATCCGGGCCATGATCAAGAAAGATGGCCTGAGAATGAATGCAGCCATCAAGATGCTGAAAGGTGAGATGCCGCACGAAGTCAGACTCCCATTCTTGACACAGGAAGACCATTACCTGTCCCTCGCTAGCCCTGCTTAGGGTGTAAATGATTGATGATTGGCAGACCTGTTCTGATACTTGCCTCTTTCTTGGTGGTGGGGACTGCATTGACCATCAGACACACATGCATCTACTTTTTTTTGGTTCTCAAGCACCAAAGCATTCAGAGAATGAAGACAGCAGCCACTCCTCGCATATGCCTGTTCAGAAGGCAGGACAATGGGCCTCCTCATGGCACACAATCATAGAGAATATCTCCTCCACATACTTAAAATGGTTGCATAGCAATTCCCAGTCCCAGGTAGCTAGCACCATAGTGTGCAGGGAAACAGAGATACTTAGCAATTTTCAGCTCTAAAACTACAATTCACAGGATTCCAGGCCACAAGCTATAACCAAGGCCTGCCCTGTGGTTTGGAGCTTGTGATTTGCCTGGGGCAGCTAAACTACAAGCCCAGATCCAGATAACATGCTAAGCCAAACCACAGTGTCACACAACACATCAGCAGAATGGCCAGGCAGGAGCAAAGTGTCCATTATCTCCTCTCTGGGAGCCTGCACAGTATTTGTTTGTTCACACTGACTGATAGTTTGGCTTAGCATTACATGTGAACAAGGGCCTTATGTATGCTTGTAAAACTGTGGCATGTGCATGCAGGAATGTGCATTTCCAGTCACATTCAGGATACAGATATATTTGTAACATGCATGTAGCACACCAAAAAGCTGGGCTTGGCCACATGTACAACAAATGTTCTTGCCACCACAGAATTTGCCTCTGAGAATGACCACCGGGACTTTGCTGGAGAGCTGGAAGTTCTTTGCAAGCTGGGCCACCATCCCAATATCATCAACTTGCTGGGAGCCTGCGAGAACAAGGGTGAGACACCTTGCCAATAGGGCACCCTCCAGTGCTAACTACTTCTTCCCTGCTCCTCCATCTTTGGGCTCATCTGCACCACCTTTTCCTTTATTCACTGAGGAGGGCTCGTCGTGAGGGAACAACAGACCCCGCCCTGCTTCCAAACAACACACACTCTAGCACGCAAAGCCCAAAGCCCCATCCTCTCTTCCCACTCCTTCAACTTGCAAAATATTTCCTTATTTCATTTTCCCTTAATCTCTCCCTGTGGTTAGTGTGGGGCAGCAACTGAAATCAGAGCCAACACTTGAGCTGCTTATTCTTGGGTGCCAGGTTTAGTGTTTGCTTGCTGTTGTGAGGGAGTGACAGACAGATACATACCCTTAAAACATATTGCGCCATCTGTGAGCAGGTGTCACAATCTGGCAAAAGTTTTACCACCAGAAAGCAAAGAATGGTAGATCCGCTGATGTCTGCTTCTGTAACTGCAAATGAGGAAAAACACCAAACCCAGAAGTGTTGTTATCTTCCTCCTCCTTTAGAGGAGGAAATTATGCGGTCGAGTTTCTCACATTTGGGGAAATCACAGGGGTCAACGCACCCAGAATGCCAGGCATTAACCTCACCCTGGGAAAATCACCTTCAAGATCACGATATCTTCCCTACCAGGAGCTTCTGCCTTCTTTACAGCAGCAATGTACTAAGAGCAAACAACTTGCATGACTGATAGAGCTGATAGCAGGGTGAGATAATGATGGTGATCACTGAAACACATTGTTAACCAGGCTTGGAAAATAAGTTTAGTTAGATCATAGTAGCAATCTAACAATACCCTTTAAGCGCATGGAGGTGAGGGGAAGGAAGCAGAGCACATGGGTTTTCCTTATTTCTGCTGGAAATAGTGATAGAAGGGAGTGTCAGAGGGTTTTATGGGCTGCTTTTGAAGGGTCCATGGGCAGGGTTTTAAAATGAGCAAGAAGACTTCAGATCTGAAATACAAATAGGCAGAGCATGTGGCCCTGGTACAATAGAATGTGAGAGCAGCAAACAACCCACGTAGGTACAGAACCACCAGAGGGCCACAGTGCACAAAACAGATTTGGAAAGGGGGTTTTCAGGAGCAGTGTGGATGAACCCTGTCAAAGCACTGGCACCACCTAGTGGTTGCAGTGACGCTATCTGGTCTACTATCTTTCATGACCATGCATATTTCTACATACACTCTCCATATTAGTTCATACAGAGGAGGATCTTGTGCCTTATCGCAGGTTCATCTCTGATAATTTTTATGGTCTTTTCTTTCTCAACCCTGCTGCTTCTAACGGAGCAAGTTTCCTGACATGTTTGTCTGGGCATGACTTGACAGTCTCTTCCCTAATTTTCCAGGTTACTTGTACATCGCCATTGAATATGCACCCTACGGAAACTTGCTAGATTTTCTGCGCAAGAGCCGAGTCCTGGAGACAGATCCTGCCTTTGCCAGGGAGCATGGGACAGCCTCGACCCTCACATCCCAACAGCTCTTACAGTTTGCATCTGATGTGGCCAAAGGCATGCAGTATTTGAGTGAAAAACAGGTCTGTGTGTCCTCACCACCTAGCCATCTTTTCCCACTAGTTGGGCTCATGTTGGTCAATGGAACCGCTGGTCTGAGCTGGCTCCACTAGTTGGGCTCATGAACCAGTTCTCTTTTTTTGGGGGTAGGGGGAATTAGCAAGCAAAGTCAAGGAGGGGAAAGACAGAGCAGGCCTGTGTTTGTGCTTTCCATTTGTAATGTGTTTCACATACACAGAATGTCAGGTCCATCATCTGAGTGTCTGACTTCAAGCTTGCAATAGTAGACGTGTACTGGAATCATATGCCAATTATATCCTGTATTGCTTCAGCATTCTCTGGTCCTAACTAAGAGCTGTACTGACTTGGATAGAACTGGGATAACTTCATGTCAGTACAGCTCTGAGTTAGGACCAGAGAATGCTGAAGCAATACAGGAGGTGAAATGTAAGCCAAGATTTTGAGATGCCTACGGCTTTGGTTTCACAAGATAGCTCATGAGATGCTGTTGCGTGCAGCTGTGGACTAGGATGAATGCCTGAATTCTCTACCACTGCCTATGTCACTCACTGCTGTTTCCTGCCCTCCCCTAGTTCATCCACAGAGACCTGGCTGCCAGGAACATCCTGGTAGGGGAAAACCTGACTTCCAAGATTGCCGACTTTGGTTTGTCCCGGGGGGAGGAAGTCTATGTAAAGAAGACTATGGTAAGTCTGGATAGAGACGATCATGTGGACCCCTTCCTCATTCCTCAGGCTTCTCTTCTGCTCTGAGTGGAGCCCAGCTCCATCTCTTCTCTTTGTTCGCCGGTCTACTCAAAGTGGGCTTCTGTAACTCCAGTGATGCTTGTTTTCACAGGGCCGTTTGCCAGTTCGCTGGATGGCTATTGAGTCCCTGAATTACAGTGTGTACACAACCAAGAGTGATGTGTGAGTGATTTATGGGTGGGTGGGCAGGGTGGCAGGGTCAACCGCAGATTGGACGACAGTGATCAGGTGGCAGGTGGTACTTTCTTCAGTTCTTTTCACCAAAGTAGTGATGGCTGCCAACCTGGAAGGCTTTAAGAGAGGATCAGACAAATCTATGGAGGATAAATATTATGTTGTGCTCTGGTTCCGCCTGTGGTCTTCCCATGGGCATTTGATCAGCCATTGTGAGAACAGAGTGCTAGGCTAGATGGGCCTTCACTTGGCCCCTTTGTTCCAAGTAGAAGTAGAAAATGCAATGAAGAAGAATGTCATGAGGAGGAGAATGTATGAATGATCCTCTGTCTTTTACTTCTTTAATCAATCCATTAAGTTGCAATACATTTGAATGCTATACTACAAAAAAAGCCTATTGGTGTTTTTTGAAATATTGAAGGAAATGTACAATAACTTACAGTTAACAAAGGGAAACTACTGGCTTCAGTATTTTCTTTTTTCTCTCTGTATTAGTAGCAGGCCAGAACAAAAATGATCTTAGAAAAGCAGCAAGTTTGCTACAGTAGAGTGGAAAACCTGGACGACCTCAGCCTACGTCCTAACTTGTCTTTCTCTTGCAGGTGGTCATTTGGAATTCTCTTATGGGAAATAGTTAGCCTGGGTAAGTTTCTGTCTCTGTTGCCCTCGCTGTCCTTTATTCTATGCATCCCATTTTGGCCCCACACTCTTCAATACAACTTCTTCATTTCATTTCTCCAACCTCCTCTCTGTGAGTGACATCAGAGTGCCTTACCCTTACTTTGGTTGAGGAACATGGAAACAACCTTGAACCAATCTTCCTAACAGGACAGCCAGGATAAAAACCTTCACTTTGGGGAGAAACACAAAATGCGAGCATGCCTAGTCTTAGCAGATCTTTCCCCAAATGGGCTGGCTAACTATAACAACATCATGGGAGAAAAACTCTTACCAACCTACATAATCTATTCACCTCACCATATAGTTGCTACTGTACATCTTCCAGTCTAGCTGCACTTTGCATTATGTATGGGTGAGGACAGGACATACAGAGATGGGTGGTTTAGGAGAACTTTGTCCCAGTAGCACCCAGAAGGCTGTGTTAAGTGTGCATTGCACCAAGCAAGGGTGGCTAGTGATGTTGCACAGGTGGAGCTACATTGCTTGTCTGGTTTTGCAACACTGCGTGTCACTGGCAGTTACCAAGTGGGGCAGGGGAGGGGCAAGGCAGTGGGATGCTCAGCACAGCAGCCAAGCTAATTCAGCACTCCCAGCACCGCACCCCTCCCACCCCTCATCAATGGGAGCAGCAACGTGCAGTGTTAGGAAGCTAGGAGAGCAAATTAGCCCCACCCATAGAGCCCCACCGGCCACTAGTGGCCCCAAGATGCTGGTGAATATGGTGCCTCGTCTGATTTCCTAGGAGGGACGCCATACTGTGGCATGACATGTGCTGAACTCTATGAAAAGCTGCCCCAAGGGTACCGCATGGAGAAGCCTCTCAACTGTGATGACGAAGTGTAAGTGGAAACCCTTCCCCCTGCCCAACACACACATCCTATTTACTCAGTTATCTCCTGCCAGTGGTCACTGGCATGCTAGGCCTCAGTATCTACATCTCCTCACTGTCGCATGCTGATGGAGGAGCTGGAGATAGAGATGCCCAGTAGACCAAGCGTCCAGTGAACTTGGCAGTTCCCCTTCCCTTGTGTATTTAGCTTCATTCTGATTCTTCACCTTCTCCTGCAGCTATGAGCTAATGCGGCAGTGCTGGCGGGACCGGCCATATGAACGTCCACCCTTTGCTCAGATATCGGTGCAGCTCATCCGCATGCTGGAAGCTCGGAAGGTATCACTATCTAGGGATATTCTTGCTGTGCTCTGAATAAAAACCTCCTGAGCTTTCAGCCTGTGTGCTGTAAAGATGTGGGTGAGCAGAGTTTACAGTCAGATGACAGAACCCAGTGTCACCATTGGGGGGCCCAGCACCCTTACCATACCCTTCAACTAAGAATATCCTGTTGTTGTAGGGTCTCAGCTTCTTTCATCAAGGCAGGATTCAGGTGGTCCTTAGAACTGGGCCCTATATCAGGCAATTGTCCCAGGATGTTGGGCTGGGGCTTGCTCTGAGCATGATTGCAGTGTAAGGTCAAAATATGAGTTATTGTATTGTCTTTTTTAGTCAGAACCTGGAGGAAAATGTACTCACAAAAGAAGGGGTAAAAGGGAGTAGCCCCCCAACTTGACTCTGTTTCTCCTTTGACAGGCCTACGTGAACATGGCTTTGTTTGAGAATTTTACTTATGCAGGGATTGATGTGACGGCTGAGGAAGCATGAGAGACTTGAGCACTGACCCCACCAACCTGTGGACCCAAACAGGGCAATAGAAGCCTCCTGTACATATGTCTCATGGTCATGCCACCATCTTTTTACATAGAGCACAGAACATAGCTGAACTTGGCTGGTCCAGAGGATCCTTCATGAACCCATTCCTCATGCCATCTTCTTCCCTGACCAGAAGGGCATGGACAGCACACAGCACAATCCAAGACTCTGCCAAACTTAAAGGAAATATATGGAGTTCAGAGAAGTGACACACAGCTATAACTTGTGCTAGGGGAGCATCTATGCTCAGTAGCCCTATATATCACAAACGCCATGTGCCGATTCCAGCCTGCCTCCAAGATGGACAGTATGGGACCCATGCATGAATGGAGGACATGGTTTGCATGTGGAGCAGCCTTCGACTTGAAACAGAGTGCCTCTTGGTCTTGGAATTTGGCATGGGGAGGAGAGGAGAGGAGAAAAAGGCAAAGCATTATGAAAGCAAGAGAATCTGCATCATCTATATTCATGCATACATACACCACAACCATTATCTCGCCTCGCAGGAAGGCGGAGGGCAGATCCTAGCCAAAGATTACCTGCTACCTGCATGGAAACACACTTCTTTACACTCCCTGGTCCAGGCTTCATTTCTGCAGAACAAGGCAGCAATGTGGAGATAGCAGCAATTTTCAAAGCCAGCCACTAGGAAGGAGTTTAAATGCTTTCACACTGACCCTTTTCATGTCATCTGCTGCTGCTGCTAAAAGCATTGGCCTGTGCCGTTTGCAGTTCATCTCATATCCTTTCCAAAATAGCCCACTTTTCCTGGGTTCTTTATCACAGCCTGCTGCTTTTTTTTTTAACAGGTGCAAGTACTGCACAAACTTGTTAAGCAAGTCCTCCATAATGTTCTGAATTGTAACACCTTTGAACACCTGTCCCAGGAGCGAGTCCTCCTCCAATTCCCCTCTTTTTCTCCCGTTTTGGCAACTTCCTCCTGCTCCTTGTCTAGCAGGCCCGTGCGTGTGCTGATTCCAATTAAGCCTGCTTCTAAAACTAAGAGAGTGTGTTTGCGCAAAAGAAGCATTGCACAGGACTGGATATACCCTTGGTTTAATCTACCAAGGCCCTCCTTGTGTACAGCATTCAAGCGACACGTTATACGACAGAAGGGACCAAAGCTCAGAGCAGTCACATGCATACTAGAAAGTTCTAGGTTCAATCCCTAGGCATTTCAGTTAGAAGGATCAGATAGCAGGCAATGGGAAATACATCTTCCTGAGACCCGGGGGAGCTGCTGTAATTTGAAAGAGAAAATACTGATCTAGATGAACAAATAATCAAATCTGGGTTGTGTGCACATTATTGGCTCAAACACAGCTAGGTGGTTCTTTTTCTCAACTCAAATCAAAGCTGGTTTGGGGGAAAACTCATCAAAACACAGTATTATATTAAAAAAAACCCAGCAGGATAGATCTGGATTGTGGCTAATGTTGTGTATATACCACTTCCCAAATAAGCAGTGGGAGCTCAGTGGGTGCAGAGTGAATGGGAGTGTGTACACAGCCTTAGTATAAGGCAGCTTCCTATGCATATAATGTCACCTGGATGCTTCTCCAAACATTTGCTTTTCAACAAATATCATGAGGAGTTTTTTCCACCGGGCATAACAGTGTGGACAGGGATTGTTCATGGAAGCAGACACAACTGTCCCTTCAATGATCTGGCGCAATCCACATGTTGTGAGACCAGTTGCTGGCTGAGAACTGCAAGTCTCTTGTCATTATAGGATGCCACTAAATAAGGTTTCCAAATCTTTTTATTGAGCCTTCATCCTGATTTGTTTACACAAAGTTTTCAGGGAGGTTTTATGATGTTGGCTGTTTATAGAGCATTCGTTCTGATTTGTTTGCAGGGAGATTATATGATATTAGGTCAAGCAATTGTTGTTACACATTTTCTAGTGCATTTTCATGCCACTTTCCTTACTGAAAAAAGCGAATGTGTTTTTGTGCAGGGGTATGTGGTTTTGTCGGTTTTTTTGAAGAGTTTCTTGTGCAAGAGTGACGAATCCACTTTAATTCTTGAATCTTAACTTTGCCGATATGCAGTTAACTCTCACTCACAAAATAGTGATAGTCTGGAAATGCCCATGTATGAATGTCTTATGAAACAAAGGAAATTGGTAGGGGAAAAGGAGCTGAACTTCAAAGGGTTGCTTTGAAATTCTCCTAGAATCCCTCGGAAGCAATTCTAGCATTGCATGGAAATGGGAATGTCAACGAGGAGAGCAATCGGTTTTGCTGTGTGGTGGATCTAACCCATGGACCATATGCTTTCAGACAGGTGCAAAATTAGCAGTACATGACTGTATAGGCCTCTAGCAGTTCTATGCTGCCTCTGTGTTAGATTTGTACATAATAAAGGATGCATAAAAAGGATGAAGTTGTGAAATGGGGTATGGCAACCTTCCTTGTGTTTTAACAGAAATCAAGAGGTACTCTCTAGCCTCCATCCTCTTACAAATGAATATAAACTGTTTATTTTTGTATGTGCCTCTCAGTAACTTTGGCAGCCATTTTAACAGCCATAAAGGGCTGCTTCTCCCACTCTGCTGTAGGAGGCAGTTCCCCCCCCCTTCAAATACTAGCAGTCAGTGCTGTTTGCATATTCTTTACCAGAGAATTCAGTGTAGGCCTTTGCCCTGCAGGGAATGCTGGCTCCACTCCAGACATTGCTGACAAACTGTTTTGGTAAGAACAGGGAAGGGAGTGAAAAAATCAACTGAATCAAGAAATAACTCATTGGCATGAGAAGGTAATCAAGTACCACTATAACTATTAACTTGGATTTAATAGCCAGGGCGGTACAAGTTCACAGAAATATGCCCAAAGGGTTCTGCGTCTGTAAGTGTTGCCAAGGCAACAAGCGAGTTATAGATCCCTGATCCCTTCTCCTTCAGGAAAAAATGTCACCATTCCAGGTGGTGTGTTTCCATTTCCTGAGAGTAAACCACGAGGGCCCTTGTGAGGTCATGCCACCATTTCATTCAAGTCTCTTTGTATATTTATGAGACATCTTAGTTTAGCTACCATGTGTGTGACAGATATTTCCGCTTACAAATAAATAAGATGGTGATTTCCTGAGTAGGCCATCTTCGGACTGTCAAATTCACAGCCATATTTGGCACATTCAGCTCCATGGGATTAGTATTTCGTATACTGATGCTATCTACAAAATAGTGCTTTCTGCTCATGGGCAACCAGTTATAGGATATGGAAGGGAATGTACAGAATTTATGAGAATTGAAACTTGAAACAGCAGATTCGCTATTCCACGCACATGCAGCGACCAAAAATCATGCAGAATGTTGCAGGGAAGGAAGATTCTCTTCAGCAATAAATTCATTTTTCTGTAGTTAAAAACTGTTATGGAGCACTAAATAAATAGTGTTCCAACCAGGTTTTCGTACAAACTACATCAGCATTTCCCAGCAGTATCAAGAGTGAGGCACTGCTACAAACATTTGCTTGGTTGCTTGAGGGCACAGTTTTGTGTTTATCCATGTTTTGAACTCTGTGGAGAAAAGCCACAGGGAGGGAAGTTGAAGTAGAGAAATGGTCGCTGAGGGAAGGGTTGGGACATCTTCCTCTTTCTCTATTAAAAAAATTCCCAAAGTTTTATGTTCTAAAAAAAAGATGGTAGGGCTTCATAACATGTGTTTGCACTAAGGATGGCTGTGTTCTGGTTTGCATAGGTAAGCTCTCCTTTAGATGTGAACTAAATCAAATTCTCTGCTATTCCTAGTTTGCATATAACATATACTAATAATAATATAGCTAAGACCTTCATGGTATCGTTTTAAGAATCACTTTTAAATTATGGAGCGTTTTTCTCTTGCATACATGTGCAGATTTTGAATGTTGTTATTTTATTTATGATTGTCCCAAAGTGATTATAATACAATGAAAACATGCACAGAACAGCTGCATATATAAAAACAGCTGACATCTGCATACATAAAAATTATATATGCACACACTAATAATAATAATAATAATAATAATAATATCATCTTACCCATCAGGCTGGGTTGCCTCAACCACTCTTAAAACAACAAGGCATATATAAAATCAATTCAGTTCTGATACTGATAATAAATGACACCAAAGATTTACACTTGGAAGGCTTGTTATAAAAGAGAATCATCTTCGACAGGCACTAAGAGGGCAATGCAAAAGGTGCCTGCTTGTCAGTTTCTCCTTAGGTGCTCAGTAATGTATGCTTTTTTTTAGCCTTTACAGTTTCTTCACTGCTTGAATTGTTATCTGTTGCACACTTCCTCGTGCGTGAGAAATAAAATGAAAAGCACCTCTCTCACACCCTCTCCACCACATTTGCACTCTCCCACATTTGACCTCTAGTTTGTTATCTTCGAGCCTTTGGTTAGCTGTAATCAACAATCTCTTCTGTGGTGTCCACTTTAGTGATGGTTGTCCCAGCAGCCATATCTATGGTAACAGGTGGACTTTACTCGGATCAAATGCATTGAGACATGAGTGTATTCTGCTATTCATTTAGCCAGGAAGAGCAAACACTGTCTTTAACTTGGTACTTTGCCAAAGGAGTATCTTAAGTAGCTTTTATGGGTTGCTCCAAACCACCTGTTTATTCAGCATTCATCCTGATTTGCTTGCAAAAGCTTATGTGGTGGTTAGGCCACACTATGCGTTTATAGCACATGGCTTCCCCGCAAAGAATCCTGGAAACTAGTTTGTTAAGGGTGCTGGGATTTGTAGCTCTGTGAGGACTAAACTGCCAGATGCTGGCTTTATAGAGGATTAATTCTTATTTGTTTATTAGGCAGTTATATTATAATGAGCAGACATCCAGCAAGCATGCTGATTTGCTTGCGGGGTGTTTAGTCATCTTCCTGACTATTGTTTGTTCATCCCATAAATTTCAATATCCTGTCATCTTATCACTTTCCTAAATCCAAAGAGTCCTTTGTTTTTAAAGTGTTACGGCAACAGTTTTTAAATCCACTTTAATTGCACAAACCTTTAGTTCCGGTGTGTGCTTGAATCCGTCCCACAAAATAGTGACAGCCTGGAGGCACTTTTAGTGATCTGGTCCTTGAGTTACATGTTGTGGTGAAGCAAATAAGGGGTGGTCTCAGTACCCATCCGCTGCTTGAAGATTTGCTTGGGCCTCATTCCCAGATGCTCCTCACAACTTGTGGATGTGAGTGCCTGTTGACTGTTTTCTCCCACTGGTTCCAACAAGAGTTGTTTTCTTAATGTTAACTGTCACACATGGAAGAGGGATATCACAGGAATTGTGGCTGGGAGGGCTACGGTCTTGATAACAGTTGCCACCCACCTCTCTCTGCACCTAGTGGTATTTGTATTTTTTTTTGTGTGTGTGTGTGTGTGTGTGTGTGTGTGTGTGTGTCTGTCTGTCTGTCTGTCTGTCTCACATAAACTTGCTAATCACATTATTGGCATCCCCTTGCTGGGTCTGAGAAAAAAAGGCTCATCAAGTGTAGCATTCTGCTCTCAGTGTCGCAACAGGATGTCTATGGGAAGCCCACAAAGGACCCCTGGACGGTTAAGTCCAGACAAAGGTGACTATATGGTTATGGCACATATCTCGCTTTCAGGCCGAGGGAGCCGGCATTTGTCCACAGACAGCTTTCCGGCTCATGTGGCCAGCATGGCTAAACCCTTCTGGCACGATGGGACACCATGATGGAAACCAGAGTGCACGGAAACACCTTTTACCTTCCCGCCACAGTGGTAACGATTTATCTACTTGCACTGGTATGCTTTTGAACTGCTAGGTTGGCAGAAGCTGGGACAGAGGAACAGGAGCTCATCCCATTGTGTGGATTCGAACCGCCGACTTTCCAATCAGCAAGCCCAAGAGACTTTGTGGTTTAGACCACAGCGTTACCCGCTCCCTTGGGAAGCCCACAAGCACCATGAGGGTTCAATACCACTCTCCCATTTAGCAAGTGCAACCACAGAGCCATTTCTCCCTTACCCCACACTCGAATTCCCAGACCAGAGCCACCCTCATTTGCTTGGAGCACCCACCCCACAATTCACAACATTCACAGACTATTCTTCTGAGAGCACTGCCAGCTCCTGCCAGTCCTCTACGACATCCAGTGCTTCCTGCCCAAAGGCCCTGTCCTTAAGAACCACCACCACAAGGGCAAGACATACTGCCTATCTGATCATAGCAGCCTCCAGCCAATGCTGCCACTCTTGCAGGCCATGGCGCAGTGGTTTTGGGCTGGGGAAGTGGTGGGGCCCAGGACTGGAGGAGGCCTTTACCCAGGCTTCCTGAGCAGCTGGCCTGGCACTTCCCAGATAAGCTTCCCTTGCACAGGTCCAGCAACAAAGGTTCAGAGCTTACGTTCACTGGAACAAAAAGCCAAGCAGTCCCTGTCTGCTACCTCAGCAGGAGTGCAGGCCACTGATGTATCCATGTGTCCAATTTTCTGCCAGAGCATATACTGTCGACACCAGCAGTGCGGAGGGACAATATTTTGACTTGGGTCTGATCCTGGATGTACCTTCCAGTAGGATGGCAGTTCCTCTGTGCCTGGTGAGGCCACTGCTTGCCATACTCCTGCTCATCTCTTTGCCTGTGCTGAACTGTGTCTACATCACAGATGAAGGTAAGATTACAAACTGCTACTACTGTCCATGGTTTAGGGCAGAGCTTTCCAAACTTTTCATGTTGGTAACATACTTTTTAGACATTCTTCATTTCACAACACAGTCATTCAGTTTTACTAGCAAACCAGAGATTAAACTAGCCCCTTTCCTGCCCTGGGAGGAGCTTGGGGTACATTAGCAGAACACACCTACACGCTGCAGCCGACACACTAATGTGTCGCGACACAATTTGGAAAGCTCTGGTTTAGGGGAAAAGGTGAAGATGAAGCATGGCTTTTGTTACTTTTTTTGTGGCCCTAGAAACCTCATTAGGAAAGCCAGGCAGGTGAACATTCTTGTGGACGAAAGGCATCTGGGCAGGGGGGATGGGATGGGGCTTTCAACAACCAGCTTTCCTGGATTAGGGTTTCCAATTTCTGATCAAAAATGCCCTCTAGGCTTTTGATCACTGTGGCATGCAGATGTCATCAGGCAAGGCTTCTCACAATGCAGTGATGAAAGAAGACACTCTTTTCAAACTATTCTCTACCATGCCCTTATTAAAACATAACTCTGGACTGTACCATGTGGGATCAGGAAACTTTGGAATAAATGAAGCTCTTCCATACTTGTGGATCAAGGTCCACCTTGGCTGCTGCAGAAGGAGGGTTAGGAGAAAACCCTTTCATGTCCTATGCCAGGACGAGGCCCAGCAAGAAAACTATAGATCCCAGAACTATAAGTGCTGAAAATTGTAGCTCTGTTGAGATAAACTACAGTTCCCGGGATTCTTTGGGGAAAGTCCTGTGCTTAACATGTATGGTATATTCACAGCCTCAGAGATCTACCTGCACACCTCCACCAAAGCGTTTCCTCTGTACATTATTCAGGGCCACCAGTCAACAGAAGAGCAAGGAACATTGGTATGTGGAAAGATGGAATAGGTTACGAAGGCTCAAAGTGAATGTGGGTACCGAAAGTGCCAAATTGTTTCCTGTCCAGATCAATGCAGTTCTTTACTAGGATCAGCTATTAAGTGCAGTCTTTCCAGATGATGAGAATTTTCCTCACCACAGCTCTCAATTAGGGAGAAACAAGATCTGACTAGAATTCAGGTTTGTTTTTCCAACACCCGTTATTCTTCAATGTCCTTTGTATAGAGTGGTTGTGTTTCCTCCCTTCTTCTGTGGGGGCACCGGAGTGGGGGGACAGGGACATAAAAAAGACACTGACCAAGAGTGCTGTCTATGTTCAAAACTTGAATAGCTCATAAGCAGATACACATAACCGCTTGATCTGTGAGCTTTTCAGCTTTTGCTGATGGATATGATACTGTTAGAAATACTACAAGGACAGAAACCAAAATCTAAAGAAATTCTTCTTTGACTTAGCATGAATCATAAACCTCAAATTGTTTAAGGGTAAGATGTAAAATTATTGACTAAATATATACAGCGGTACCTTGGGTTACATACGCTTCAGGTTACATACGCTTCAGGTTAAAGACTCCGCTAACCCAGAAATATTACCTCGGGTTAAGAACCTTGCTTCAGGATGAGAACAGAAATCGTGCTCCGGCGGCACGGCAGCAGCAGGAGGCCCTATTAGCTAAAGTGGTGCTTCAGGTTAAGAACAGTTTCAGGTTAAGAACGGACCTCTGGAACGAATTAAGTACTTAACCCGAGGTACCACTGTATAGTATTCAGATTTCACAGATATCCTATGTCCTGCAGTGTTACTTCCCGAACCCTTAATTCTGATGGTATAATTCATTTTACCTTCTTGCATTGTTTGTTCCTACAGAATTATTGATCCCCTTGATTTCTTTGTTTCCCTCTCAAATCTTTTAAAATTAGGGCTCCCTCCAGATGTCCTTTTTATTGTGTATTTGTCATTACCCATGATTCTGCCTGCAAAAGTGTCATGGTGAACCTATACTGCTTTGTTTCCAGTCAATGCATGTCCCATAGTCTCCTGCTTTCCTTTCTCACTGGGATTCTAGATACAATATTTACCCTTATAAGACACTCCTGAAACACTGTGGGAGGGAAAAGCAGCTAGTGAATTATTTTCGTGGGGATGGGTTAATGAACCCTGTTACTTCTCCACTCAAAATCTTAGCGTCTTGAGACTACTTTTTTTAAAGTCATTGTTTTCATTGCATTTGCGTATAATGTGTAGTTTGCTCCCTTATCTTGCTTCCTCCCACTGTCACTGGGAGTTCTATCTCCCTGGGACAGGAAGCTGCTCCCCCCCGCCCCAAGTTTGCCACAAAACCACATGGCTATTTTGGGATGTTTGTGAACACTTCCTGGCAGCAAATACTTTGGGGTGGTGGTAATCATTAGCTCCCCCTTTCCCTAATCCTTTCCCAACCCACTCAAACAACTGTGTTGCCAATATGGATGTTCACATAAAAAAACAGAAACAGAATGACAACATTTAGGGTCAGTACCGTTTGCATTTGTGGGTTATGAAAATCAGTACTGTTAGATGGATGCGTGGTGTACAAAAATGAAAATACATTATAGAAGGGATGAGGAACCTATGGCCCTCCAGAGGTTGCTGGACTACAACTCTCATCAGCCCTAAACATTGGCCATGCTGGCTGAACTAATGGGAGGTGGAGTACAACAGGTCCTCATTCTTGCATTATAGAGAAAATGAATACTGTTGGGGGGAGAATTTTAATGAGCCACTAAGCTTCACGGCAGAAGGGGGTCATAACAGGGCCAGTGACTGCAGGCTGCACCACCCACCCACCCCAAGATGCAGGGAGGGGTCTTTGCATGTTACCTGGTAGGTACTTATTCAGAGAACTGCACCCAAACATTCAGGTTGGTGCCAAAGAATGAGAGCGTGGAGGTGCACTTTGAATAACCACAGCCAGCCCCCCACCTTTATTGAGCAACTTCTTGCACCTCACCCCACACCCACTTAATTCAAAATTAACCAACATTATTTGATCCCTTCATGTGGCTAACTTTTATCTAGATCATCAGCCGTTCTCCTCAACAGAAACTAGTTTGTCAGCTTCTAAGACTGTATGAACCCCCCACCCCTCACCCCATTTGCTCTGCAGTCATCATTATACTCCCACTGCTTGTTTGGGAAGAGGCAAAGCCCACATTATCCACAATCCGTATCTCTCTTGTGGTTTGTTATGAAATAAATACTGTGTTTTGGTGCATTTTCCCACACACCTGCTTTGAACCAAATTGAGAAAAAGAGCCACCTAGTTGCATTTCAAGCCAGTGATGTGTACACAGCCTAACACACATTTCTCTCCACTGCAGTGTGTCTTCTGGAAATTCTGTCATGCATTTGATAAGGATATTTGATTTTATATCCCTTCCCTCCCCATTATCATAGCTACCTCACCCATGTGTTGGCAAACAGGATCTCTGCCCCGCCCCGCCCCCCCCCCCAAGGCTAACTGTAGCATGGAGTGGGGGAAATTCTGTTGTAATCACTAAGGGGAGAAGGGTTAAATTTCACCACCACCACCCCAGCATGCTGTGTTCCCAATGAACATTGCTGCTTGGCACTTGCAATTTTTTAAAAAAACAATGTTAGCGAAACCATTAGCATCATGTGTAGTTACAGGTAGGTAGTTGTGTTGGTCTGCCGTAGTCAAAACAATTTTTTTAAAACAAATTCTTTCCAGTAGCACCTTAGAGACCAACTAAGTGTATCTGAAGAAGTGTGCATGCACACGAAAGCTCATACCAATAACAAACTTAGTTGGTCTCTAAGGTGCTACTGGAAAGGGGAAAAAATTATTTTGTTTCATCGTGTGTAGTTAGGCTCCTAGAAACATAAGAAGTTTCATTAGAGTAGGCCAAACTATTGGTCTATCTGGCCTGGAATGTCCAAAAGTGAAGAAGCATTTCACATCATGCACTACCTGATTTTCTTAGCACACTGAAGAAAGGCCCTACAGGAGTGGTGCCTTCTCCCCTTCTGAAACTTCCTCACACCCAAAGACTTGAGCATGGCTATAAAACTCTTATTCCAAGCTGACTGGAGCCCTGGAGAGAAGCACAACCCGTGACAGGCTGTGGTGACTTACTGGCCATTTCTTACAGCTTGTGCTTGTACAAACACTTGTATTAATCTCTATGACCACAGTTCTATTTGCCATGCACTTGCTTCCTCCATCTCACAGTCCAGATGACTTTGGGTATTTGTGGTTACAATTGTCACCCTATTCAGCTTGAAGACTTATGCAAGCTTCTTTATCTTTCTTTCTTTCTTTCTTTCTTTCTTTCTTTCTTTCTTTCTTTCTTTCTTTTTCTCTCCCCACACAGAGGCTGATCTATTGGCTGAAACAGCTCAGGACATCTTCTGCTTTTCTCGCACCTTTGAGGATCTCACTTGCTTTTGGGATGAACCAGCACATGTGGATGGGGCATATCGGCGCTTCTTCTATACATACAAAGGGTGAGAGGTTTTTATACATGGCTATGATCCATAGTCCAGGCTGTCTGGAAGGTTTCCAGTAGAAGAATACTGCAGCTCCTTGAGGTTTCCCACTGCCCACTCTCTTCATCTCCACAGAGACAGAAGCCGAGAATGCACTCTGAGGTCAGCAAAGCACAGTGATGGAGGCTGGCGCCATGTCTGCATCTTCCCCAGGAACCATCAGGATATTCTGCTCTTTGCAGAACTCCACATCGAGGTGTTAGACACCATTAGTAATCACACCACTCGCTCTCAGGATCTCTCTGTGGCGTCTGTTGGTAAGCCTTCCTTCGGATTTGAGAAGCAAGGAAATGTGGCGTGACATTAAAAACAATTTTTAAACACTTAACAATCACAAAACGTGATGGCTCCTGAAAATATGTATCTCAGGTGTCATCCTTAGGATATGGTCCTAAATCCCACCCACCACTGGCAGGGCTTGTTGAGTGGTACAGCCATCACTGCATCAGGATTCCACCACTCACAGATATACCATTAGCAAGCTTCCTGTCTGCACACACATTTAGAGGGCAAGAGGGGGACAGCTGAGTGAAGGGACACCTCTGCTTAATCCAGCCCCCAGCCTGGCAAACAACAACCACCAACAGTACTGAGGATGAGGCCATATGTATCTCCCTGGGAAGGAAGTTCAAAGGGGTGGGGCACTGGCACCTGCCAGCCAAACAACTCTTGCTGGTGGATCAGGGAGCAGAGCCTGCCCTAAGGATCTCACAGTAAAATCTGAGCATGAGGAGGAAAGCCAGAGGCAAAGGGAAGGGTGGATAAAGTGGAGGTCACATAAATAAGAAATGAAGTTACACCTACTTAAGCTTCACACTTGAGGATGTGACACCATCAAATTCTTGCAAACTTTCATTTCTACATTTGGCTCTGTCCATATGGCTGCCCTTTTCCTAGAGGCTAAGAAGTAGTGCATCCGGCCAGAATGCGGATGCCTAGATTGACATACCTGTCCCCTACCACCAGAGCTTGCCCTTGCTAGCTGGAGAACTGCAGCCCACCTTTCTGCTGCTTTGTTGTTGCGTGCTGCAGTCCCAAGAAAGCAACCTTGCAGCAGACGCAGCCAAGTCCCCAGCATTCTTGCTTGCCTCTGCAGATTCCTGCACTCCCAGTTGTGACTACCACACAGAGAAGCATTCCACTGTAAATATACTGCATATACAGGAGAAATGTAACAAATCCACATATTATGTATTTATTAGAACACTACTTGGGGATTTACTGTTGCTTCAGAGATTGAAACAATGGTAATATTTACTGCACCACTTAAGTGTTGAAATTATATCTTCATCTGTCTTTGTTTGTAAATCCCATAGTTTTCTATCTACGTTTGTAAATCCCACAATTGTCTGTCTATGCTTAGGTCTGATTGCTCCACCAATGAATGTAACAGTGGTGTGGCCTGGAGTGGCACGACAGTTGCACGTAGCCTGGACCCCCCCACCTTTCCACTATGCAGACTTCTTGGCCTATGAGGTTCTTTACAGTGCTGAAGGCTCCACAGAGCCACCATCCAGGGTATGGCTTATATGGGGCAGGGGAGGTTGTGGTGTATGACACCTGCAGGGCAGCTGGCTGTGTCTAAAACTCTAAGCAGGACACCAAGCTCTGTGGCTATCAAATAGGGGTGAAGGAGCAGTTCAATGCGGTTTGCATTTATAGGTGAGCCTACTTATTTTGCACATTCTGCAACACTACACGAACCTTTGAACTCTACAATTCTATGATCCTATGAAAACACAGACATCCTTCCAAATTCAGAATTCTCTGAATTTTGCAGTGCAGTTCTCCAGCCAAATAGTGTGTACAAAAACACAAATACTAGGATAAAATGTGCCTACAAATGCACATATTACTGAAAATAGCATACAAAAATGCATTAGATAAGGGAAAACACCTTTGCCAAAATGTGTGTATTATGCAAATGAAGCAGCGTAAAAGGGGAGAAATTTGCAGTAAAATGTTGCTAAATTTTCATGAGTACCTGTTGTTAAACAATTTGCAAACAGATGAGCTATCGGGGGAAACTACTTCCACTAATCCTTACATGTGCCTGATTCCATCCCTCATAGATGGAAGTGAAGAACAGCCATACATGCCGCCTCAGAGACCTGCTCCCTGGGCACTGCTACCACATCCAAGTGCGCACCAAGCCTGATGGCCTCTCTCTTGATGGGCTCTGGGGACCATGGTCTCCAGTAGTATTAGCAGAGACACCCCATCTCCCTGGTAAGGGTCCTGTTGTTTGGTAAACAGTTGTCATGGGGATCTTAGTTGCATTACTTTCGAACAATGCACTATGACTGCATACATATTGTTGCACGCCACCCCAATCTCCAAGCAGTGAGAGTTTCAAGTTGTTTCAGGTGCTTACCCGGGGTTTGGTTTCCTCAGAATGAGGGACATTGGAGGTAATATGAAATGCTTCCAAGAAGCACTTGTTAAATCTTCAGAGCTTTATTGCTTTACAATAAAGAGCAAACACCAGAATATGCCAATCACAAAAAAGAAATGCTTATTAAACTATGAAAGGTAATATATGAAATGCTTCCAGGAGATGCTTGTTGAATTATGAAAGGTAATAAGCACCTGGACTAATTAAAACAGCATACATCTCCCTTGCAAAATAAGAGATGAAGAGCAATAGGAGTATCTAATTGAATCTTCACTGACTTCCTCAGAGGAAGGTAAATCTCACTGCTGTTGTAATCTGTATTTTGACCCAATAAAGTTTTTCATTAGATTTCTATCCCACTCTTCCTCCCCAAGGAGAGCTGGGCAGCTCCTTTTAAGAAATAGAACCCCATAAAAAGAAGTGTCCAGGCACCAGAATTCCTAGAGGCATATATCTGAGCACCTGTTGCCATCAGGGTGGAACCTATGCCTTCCCCACCGTATTTTAGCCGTCTCTTTGTATTGTAAATAGTTGTTTCACCAATGCTGACATAAATTGATATGTGCAAAAAGCAACAACCATTTATTTCCGTCAGGGAGGTGGTAGTGGCAGTAGTAGCTGATCTCTAGTAAGGCAAGGGGAGCTGAGGTGGCCTTGGTAGGAACAGGGGCCTGAGGAAAGAGGAGCAGACTGAGAGGGAGGAAAAGGCCATCCATCTTGGGTGTGCCACAGTGGCCAGGTGAAGGCCAGGATCTGTCTTTAATGTGAGGGTGCAGAGGATGTCCATGTGTTGTCTATGAAGGCAGGGTGGTGTGGAGGCAGAGGATTGGTTTGGGAAGAAATGGGTAGAGGCAGGAACCAGTAGCAAGCAAGCAAGCAAGCAAGATCTTCACTGTTGCAACAGAGTCCCCCACCCCTGTCCCGCTGCAGGAAGGTAAGGCCCTAGAACAAAAGTGTATAACAGCTTTTAAAGGCTTTAGAAATTGCACAACCCCTTAGCCAAAGACCACCCAAAAGCATCATACAACCGTCACAGAAACAGGCGGTCTACAACATAAATTTGAGAGTTTGGCTTGTCTCCTGTTTCTCAAGATACCTGATAATGCTTGCTGACTTGCATTATCTTTGCCAGTTGGGGCCATCTTGTGAAATAGTATGTACCCTAGTTTCTGAAACCATTGTCACAGACCTCTCCCCTATTCATAAACAAAGTGTGCTCTTTTGAGTGAATTTGAAGGATTTGTAAGTGAAAAGAACCATTGGGGAAGGTTTTTCCACGGTATTTCCTTCTGCAGAGAAATATTTGGGGTCTGAAATATCTCAGGCATGTGGTTTATGTACTTAAGTTTTATTTATGACACCTTAGAATTCTTATGACAATTCCACATTGTATTTAAAAGATGCTGTCTTACTCCTGATTCCTCTCACTCTCTGTTCTGCCAAGAGGAAATTGGCCTGCAGTGCTTCACTCCTGACCTACGCCAATTGCACTGCTGGTGGAAGTGGGAGACCACAGAACCTGGCCCCTCTCAAAGCATATTGTACTGGGCAGAAGAGAACAGCAGAAATTCAAGGTGACACAACAACACCCCGCCCCCAAATCCTGGGCTGTCCTGCTGCCGTAGTTATGATTGCTGGTGTCCACCGTTCATCCTCCAAAACACCCCTGCCTCCCCCTCAACTCTCACATGTCCACAATAGGCAAAGCTCTGAATCAGCATTGCCTGACTCACCCAAGGCTCACCCAAGGCTGCCCCCAAATATTCATATCATCTAGTCCAACCCCATACCAAGCAGGGAAATGAGGTGGGTCACTTTTGCCTATGTGGTCTTGCACATGTCCAGGGACTTTCTTTTTTAAAGATGTGTACGCAAGTACCTGTGTAAGAAGTAAAAAGGTAGTGGAGGCAGAGGAGGAAGAATGATTGAGAGGAGGGACAAAAAAGAAATCCTGGGTATTTTTCATCAGGCTCTGCCCATTAATGCATACGGCAAGCACCAAAATAGCAATGAATCTATTGACTGGGAGGAAACTGGAGTGTGCGGGCATTTGTGAGCCAACCATACATGCAAAAAGAAAAAATGAGCTTCAAATGACCTGTTTGCAAGATAATGCCTCTGTGTGGACATAGCTTCTGTTGATATAGCTGACTCCATCCTCACTCTTGGTTTCCAGAATGCAAACCTGGCAGAAGTGTGAGGGGAAAGAAGAGGAGATTAAGCCCCACTATGACCGCCATAACCAGACATGCACCTTCCAGCCTAGCAACACAAGTTATATCTCTGTCCTGGTGATTCTCAGCCAGGGACAGCAAGAAGTCAACTACTTGAAAGAGCCATTCCAAATGCACCATGTTGGTAAGAATCTCCAACATGTCTGGGCCACGGCACCATGGCTGCTGTCAGTCTGCATTTTGGGGGTAGCAAACTGTCCTGAAGAGCAGGAGCATCAGGCGGTGTATAGTGCTGTTTGCACTGCATTGGGCCTCTACTGCTTCTGCAAACTGAGCTGACTTGACCAGCCATCTCTCTCCCTCTGATTACAGTACTCACTGCCCCACCAAGCATCCTGCAAGTCACTGTAGACAGAGGTGTGCTAAAGCTGGAGTGGGCACCACCACTGGAAGAATTAGCTGAACATATGGTGTATCAGATACAGTATGCAGAACAAGACATCTCAAAATGGAAGGTAATATAAAAATGTATGAGGAATGCATGAGAGAGTATTAGGACCACACATCTGTTGCATTAGATACCCTTTTCCCCCCTTTCAGTACTAGAGCACAACTGGAAACATAAGGGAAGTGCCTTTGATAAAAACACATAGCTTTTCCCAGGAAACACTCCCTGGCAACAGCTGAAAAAAAGGAAAGGAAAGAAAGGCTAATCCAGTTGCAGGCTGCATTAATAGAGCCATAGTTTCCAAAATGAGAAGCAATAGCTCCACTTTATTTTGCACCAGGACCTCATCTGGATTACTGTGTGCAGTGCTGGGCTCCTCACTTTTAAGCTATAGACAAAATGTAATGAGTTCAGTGGAAGGCAATGAATCAGTGTCAATAGCATGAATTATGCTCCACCCCCAGCCATCACCATTGGTCTAGGAGACAAGCACAAGCTGAAGGGATGTGTGTCATTGTTGGAATGTTCAGTCACCAAACTGATCTCTGTTTATACATGTCCTGAGGCATGTGAGACCACAGAAAAGAGCTAAGGCTATAAAACAGCTTTTATAGAACATGTTATTTTTGCAGCTCAGATAGACTGGCTATGGGGTTCTGACCCAGTTCTTCTGAAGTAGCCAATTATATATCAAGGAGCTCACCTGATCCTGCCTCACCCAACAGGGCCCAAACTTCCATCTTCCAGTCTATGATGCCCCTGGTCTTTCACTCAGTTCCTCCAGACTGTTCAGCGTTTTGGGGTGAGATGCAATCACATACTGGCAAAATCAAGTTGCACAGTTCAAGTGAATTTGGTGTGCTGGAAAGGGTGGGCTAACAGTTGTTTGATACAGTGTCATCTGACCTCTCTGCAAACAAATTGGGATGAATATTCAATAAATAGCTAATATCATCTAACCTCCATGTAAATCACTGATCTTCAACTGGTAGGTCAGGACCCTGCGGTTCAGCCTTTCTCAATGTTCTCAAAGATGTTGAACTACAATTCCTATGATTCCTAGCCAGTGTGGCCAATGGTCAGGGATGAGGGGAGTTGTAGTTCAAGAACATCTGGGGACTCAAGGTTGAGAAAGGCTGCTTTAGTTGACAATGGACTGATCCAAGGTGGGTCACAACAAGAGCACTCCCACCATGCAAATATATGGCAAAAGATTAAGAAATGGGTTCTCAAATGCATTTTGGGGTTAAAAGTGGGTCCTGAGTCTGATAAGGTTGAAGATACTTGCTGTAAACAATTCAGAGAGAATGCTAAATAAACAGGTTGTCTGGAAGCAACCCAGGTCAATTATCTTTTATAATTCCACTGCTCCATTTTGTCATTAAAAAGCCTTTGATCAACATGCCAGGCTTTTCCAAAGAGGTTTGTGAACTTTCTGATACAATTGCCCTCAACCCTTGTAGAGCTGTCTTCTGGCAGCAGGATTTCTGGCAAGTTCATGAAAAAACCAAGAGATGCTGCTTTTTTTTTTTGCCCTAGTTGCAATTTGCGGACCATCTTCAAGGGCAGTGTCACATGCCATACTGCCATATCTGGCTTATGAATTCAAGGCAATCAGCCAGATGGGAAAAGTTTAAACAAAGGGACTTAAAGATGCTACATCCTCCAGTTTTTCAACACAAACAAAGCCTTTCACAAAGTGGGGGAGTGAGTGTGAGAAAGAGACCCATGTTAGAAGTTTGTACTGGGATCAGATGAGTGATGCTTGAGGACCAGCAAATACAGAGCAAAAGCAGTCTCACAGCTCTGACCCAGATAGCACAACTGCTCTAGGTTCTGGATGTGAATTTAACCAGCTAAGCACACCTAATGGGGCTATTCTCTGGGCAGACTCTGCAGGTGCAGTACTCAAACAGCAGTGAAATTCATCTGGCAGCCAGGGGCCACTGCTGCCTTCAGCTTCGTGCTCAGCCAGATGGACAGAAGTTCCAAGGGAACTGGAGTGTGTGGTCAGAACATGTGTGCACTGATGTCCCACCTGATTCAGGTAAGAGACCACAAATAGAAATGTAGGGTTGGATACAGGCAGTGTTTTTTTCTAAAAAGAAATGTTTAGGGGTACTCTCATTTTCCTACTCATATTGAAATACTGCCCCTCAAAGAGGCCAAACTTAAATTCACAAAACGTTTAGGGTTATGCGTACCTCTGCATCCCCTGAGGCCCAAATGGGCATTTAGAAAAGAGCTGACATAGTTTGGTAACACAGCTTCACCCTTTGTATCTTCCCTAGGTTCAACCATCTTAAATGTGACACCTGCTCTGTTGCTCTGTGCAGGGCTTGTATTGGGGCTGGGCTGCATCTTCCTGTCCATTCACAGGTAAATTTACATCATTCACCTTCAATACTTAGTTTTATTTTGGGAGCTAGTTGCAAATTGGAGAAACTGTTATGGACACCATGCACAGACAATAATCACAACCATGCACATGAATGTATAGTAAACACACACACTCCCACCTTCACCAGCAATTAGGCTTGGAAAAAACCATTTTTGCTCCCCTGCCTCCCACATCAGAGATATCTTCCTAGAGTGCAGCTGGAAAGGACGTTTGTACACATGCATCCAGGAAGTTCACTCACATACACATATCCTGCAACAATTAGGTTTGAGCAAAGTCTTCTATAGGAGCCAAGAGAGGACTTTTTCCATTCCTGTTTGCAAAATGTCCCTCCCCTGATGCAATTAGGCATGAAAAAAGCCCTCTATTAGCTCTAGTCTAGTAGTAGACTTTGTTCAAACCTAATTGCAGAGGAGGTTCTACTGGGGAGGAGGTTTAAAGCTGGGGAGAATTAACTCCCCTCCCCAGCTATCACCCTCAACATTGAAAGCTCACCTCACCCCACCGGTGGTGCCATGATTAGGCTACTATTAGCTACAATAGTAGCGTTCTTTCAAATTGCTCAGGGTTGGGGTGGACTGGGGTTGATGTAAGACCAGGGGTAGGAAACCTAAGGCCTGGGGGCCGGATGTGGCCCAATCACCTTCTCAATCCGGCCCACGGATGGTCTGGGAATCAACGTGCTTTTATGAGTAGAATGTGTGCTTTTATTTAAAATGCATCTCTGGGTTATTTTGGGGACCTGCCTGGTGTTTTTACATGAGTAGAATGTGTGCTTTTATTTAAAATGCGTCTCTGGGTTATTTGTGGGGCATAGGAATTCGTTCATTACCCCCCCCCATATAATCCGGCCCACCACATGGTCTGAGGGACAGTGGACCAGCCCATGGCTGAAAAAGGTTGCTGACCCCTATGTAAGACCAAAACAAAAAACCACACTTTGGGATGGGGCTGTGATAGAGGCAGATTTGCTTCTATTGAGATCAGCTGGGTTCCCTGAATTTCACATGCTCATTGTTCCTTGTTAAGCAGTCTGAAACAAAAGCTCTGGCCGCCCATCCCAGACCTTCACCACGTCCTGGATGGATTCCTTGAGGACAATGGAAAGCACCAGGTGAGGCCTTCCTCTTCCATACAGGCACCAACTCCAATGTTGTTGGTGGATAGGACAGGAGACCAGAGTAATCATTTTTAAAGGTGGTGAACAGTAGGCTGCCTTACTGTCTTCCAGTTCTGTTTTGATAGGAGCCTGCTTCAAGTTTGCAAGGCTTCATGACTGACATGAAAACATCAGGCATAAGTTTCATAACTCTAATTAGTCTTTTCCTTGATGCATATTTATAAATCCTGAATTGTGATTTGTAAATGTTGTCATAGTGGAAGTTTAAGAGACAGCATACTTTGTCTGAAGCAGCATTAAGAGTCATTTTAACGTGGCGAGTGAGAATACACCAAAATAGGGTATCTAACAGTGACAAAGAGGGCTATAAATACAGAACCATGAAACTGACATTTCTCTCTGCCTTATTTCTTATAGTTTCCAGCAGAATTGCATTAATTCCCATAACAAAATCTCATGCTGATGTTGCTTCTGCCAGCTATCCTCTCCCCAGGGAGATTTTCTGTCTGAAGTTGGGATGGCAAATATGTGCCCCCAGGTATTTTGTAATAGGAGTGTTAACATGTACACAGAGATAAGTATGCATGTACACATTTACCTCCACACTGTAGATTGGAGAGGGTGAAGCCCAGGGACATTTTTGTGTTTCTGATGTTGCTTCCTTCCCATCTTCCAGGTGAATGCTTTCTTCTGCAACAAAACTTTAGAGGACACACCTTTGACTTGCCTGCTGGAAGTCCTGTCTGAGATACCCCTGGAAACACGTAGCAGTAGCCCTCTCCTAGATAGTACTCAGCTGCACCAGACAGAAAGGGACACCCAGCCTTCTTCACACTTGTACTACATGGTGCCAAGTCCTAGCAATCCCCAAGGGAATAATAATGAAAATGAGTATTTTGGTGCCACGGATGATGGACATGACACGCTCTCACTGCCCTTGGAACATGATCTACACATAACTTCGGAACTGAAGGTCCAGCTAAGTATCATCACCTTGTTCAGCACACCACTTTTGGCTCCTGACACAAAAGAGGAAAGAAGATGGGAAACTTCTGGGGACGAGTCTGTGTCTGCCACACACATATCAAACCAGTCTTACCTGCTCGTGGGCTGACTGTACATGCTCATTAGAGGGTGGCAACAAGAAATGATGTGGTTCTGTAGATTTTTGCAGAAGATATTCTCAGCTGCTGCAGGGAAGGCATTTTGCCAATTCCTGCACATTGAATCTGTTTCCTGTCCTTAGCAGCTGATTGCATTAGGCTGAGGGATAAGAGTAAAACCTGATTGGGAGATATACCCACATGGTAACTGGTACTCAAGGCCCATCATATATATTTCCAAATGCAGTGCAATTCCTAAGAAACTACACCCTACTGATTTACCCATTTGATTTTTATAGCACGAGAGCCAGAGATAGCTGCAAAAAGCCATTTAGGACTTTCCACAACATGGAGAAGTAAACTGGCCGTTGCATGGGATGTTATGCCGATTATGAGAGCCAATCACAGCAATACGTGGTGAGCATAGAAATGCATATAATCTGTGGCTACTTAGTCTTAATGTGGTAACTCACATCATGTTGATAGGCCACACTGTAAAAATCAACTTAATCTATTCTGCCTTTGACTTCATTTTACATCACGAGCCACAACTCTCCTACAGCCGGGGAGTCACTATAATTACTGGCATTTGCATTGTGACCAGGTATTAGTGCATAGAATAATGTTTAGTAGTGCAACTTTTGTAAAAGCACACTCACTGTGGTCCCCTCAGTGCAAAGCCACGGAAATATGTAGGAGGTGGAGTTTTTGCAAGAGTATTCAGGATGAGATGGTTTTGAAACATAACACACAGGGCTTTCCAAAGGGACTCATTGCTCAAACGCCTCTTAAAATGTAAGGGTGTGGCTGAGCTTAGCATTTCGCCTTCAGACATGTATATACTACCTTGTTCTTCCCTGTATATTGCTTTGTACAGTCTGTGTTGGTGATTATACTATAGGTAAAGAATAAAATCCCATTGGCTCTGAAGAGGTTTTACTTCATGAGATTACAAATTGCTTACACTGAAAATAACCAGTCTTGCACCGCACAACACCTTAAAAAGCATTGGTCTGTTTGTGTCAAGCCTAACATTCTGGGAGCAATCTATCCTGGCCAATATTATCCCACTTCCAACCGTAGAGGCTAATTTAGTGCAAAGCATAAGAGCTTACATTTATTCCCAGCAATTAACCATATCACTAATGCTCAAACTGACTTTCTTGCACTTCAGGTCTGTCTACTGTTAAAATCAAAAGGCCTGTTAGTTTAAATGCAAACAGCTGGATTTAAGCAATTTGTGGATCACAGCATGCATTGCACAACTGGTTATTCAGATCTTCCTCAACAAGGCAGCCTGCAATCTTCCCCAGTCTACTCAAGGTTGGGGACAAGACTCTGGTTTTTTTGAGGTGTGATGCCAGAGTTGGGTTCCCAGGCCAGAGTTGAAAGCGCAGCAGTCTTTGTTGTTTTTATTCCACAGGCATGGAACCCTCTAGTTACTAGTCTAGTAGGTACTTGATGGCATTTGAAGGTCAGAAGTCAAGCACATCTTGTACTAGAGATCAAATGCAGCATTTAACCCTCACTGCTACAGGGGCAGTAAGGGGCAGACAGATTTATAAGTGCCAGTGCTTGACAATCTTGGCTAAGCTCTGCTACTATCCTTGCAGCTTTGTCTTAATAGGTGGTGCAACTCAGAACTTTGAGGGGTGGCATTCCCTGTTGAAAAGTCGGAGCCTGTCCTGAGGATCTCTTTAGTGAGCTCTCAGCACAGGAACCAACTCCTAGGGGCTGAGGTCCCTTTGCACTCCTCCCAAGTTGATGGGCATTGCCATTCAAATGGTGGGCGTGTGCTGCATCATGTGATTGATTAGGTGGGGCGGGGCTTACCTAAGCCCCCCACAATATTTTAGTCAAGTTGCCACCCCTGGCTCTCAGGAAGCGTTCCTGTGGTAGAGCACATGCGATGCATGCAAGAGGTCCCTGGTTCAATTGTTGCGAATTCACGTTGGGCTGGGAAAACACTTCGTCCTCGAACTCTGAGGAGCCGCTGCCAGTAGTGTAGACCAGTACAGTGGTACCTCGGGTTACATACACTTCAGGTTACAGACTCCGCTAACCCAGAAATATTATCTTGGGTTAAGAACTTTGCTTCAGGATGAGAACAGAAATTGTGCAGCAGCGGCAGCAGGAGGCCCCATTAACCAAACTGGTGCTTCAGGTTAAGAACAGTTTCAGGTTAAGAATGGACCTCCAGAACGAATTAAGTTCTTAACCCGAGGTACCACTGTACTGCGCAAGGTGGCCCAACGGCCTGAGTCAATACAAGGCAGCTTTCTCCTGTTGCATTTTTCCCCCGGGGGGTGGGGGAAAGAAGAGACGACCAAAGGCAATCACTTTCCCGAATGGCCCTGTATAAATTGGAGAGTTGGGCAGGATCCGCCCTACGAATTCCACCACGTTGCTCAGAGTCCTCAGCCGCAGACGCAGGCGGCTCATTAGGGAAGCAGCGATTTCGGAGAGCTCTGACCGCACCACACGCACCCGCCCGGGATGCCTCGGCGGGCGATGCGCACGCGCGAAACATTCCGCGGCCCTCTCGCGACTGAGCCGTAGCGGACGTGCGGTTCCAAGCCTCGCTTGGAATTTTGGAACGTTATTGCGGCGTCCGGCGCCATGGCAACCCCGCTGCCCTCTTCTCTCACTCCGCCACCGCCGCTAGGCATCATGGGAAGCGCCCGCACTCAGGAAAACGCCCCTGCTTTATCCATGGAGCCGCACGGCTCCCTCCCAGAGACTTGCCCTAGCAGAGCCCCGCCTCCTCGCCGTCGGAGAGCCAATGAGAGAGACGAAGGCTGCCCGTTGGCCTCGGCTTCCCGGCAGCCGGCGCGTTCGAAACGGCCAATCGCTGCTCGGAGAGGCGAATTTAAATCGTGAATGGCGGAAGGGCTCGGCAGAGTTTCCTCCAGATCGAGAAAAAAGGTGAGTCCGGTTTGTTTGCCTCTAGGCGGCCCGCTGCGTCGCTGCTGTGGCTCTTGGAGCCTCTCCGCACCCGCCTGGCTTCCCTCGATCTCCTCGCCGCCCGTAGGGCTTTTTCCTGCCCCCCATCTCCGCCGCGTGGCCCGGGGTGGGGCTGCCCACCCTGCACGGGGAGCTTCCCGGGGCTGGGGCTGGGGCTGGGTGGATGGGTGGTGCAGTAGACCACGCCGAGATAGAAAGAAGGTACCCCTGCCACTCTTTTTAGTGCCGCCGTTGAAAACGGCTGGGGTCGCAAGGCATCTTATAAAAGCAGTGCACCCTTTCAGGAAACCTCCGGGGGTCGTAAAGTACGAAGAAACTTCCTTATTGCTACGTCGTTTCCACTTAGATGCAGAACCTGTGTCTTCAGGTGGAGGCTCCCATGGGTCGATGCTGTTGCATGGGGCGCAGAGTCGGGGAGTTCCTTTGCATTCAGAAAAGTAAATTTTGATGGGAATGGAGTGCAATATGGCCTTTCTTGAAAAACGCAGCTTTCTATATAGAGGAGCATTCAAATGTGTGAGCCTCCATCTGATCCGAATTTAGACTTGCTAGCTTAGGGCTAGGCCAAACTGACTGGGAATGGGGAATAACACGCGTGCTCACCCAACCCTACTGCAGATGTGTATTGCATGGTCTCTGTTGGCCTTTTGTTTGCAGCTGCTATTTATTTTATCTGGCTTTATCCTCACAGCGCCCTATTCACATGGCACAGTTCCTGTTTGAGAGTGACTTGCACGGGCTGTTGAAGCTAGATGCCCCTATTCCCAATGTCCCTCCTGCCCGATGGCAGCGCAAAGCCAAGGAGGCTGCTGCCGCCAGCTCTGGACATACCCCAGATGCTGCAGCTCCTTCACCCATGAAGCCAGCTAACAGACCTCACAGCACAAGCAAGACCCCCTCCAAGACACCAGGTAAGACTCCTGTTGTATCTTATGAGGGTGAGGACACATCTTAATGTTTGAGGCTATGGGTTGACCTAGCATATGTCATTAGCTTGTCTTGTGGTTTTCCCCCAACTAGATGTTGGGAGTGGCCTATCCACTACAGTGGTGCCCCGCAAGACGAATGTCTCGCAAGACGAAAAACTCGCTAGACGAAAGGGTTTTTTGTTTTTTGAGCTGCTTCGCAAGACGATTTTCCCTATGGGCTTGCTTCACAAGACGGAAACGTCCTGCAAGTTTGTTTCCTTTTTCTTAGCACCGTTAATACAGTTGCGACTTGACTTCGAGGAGCAACTCATAGCACGCAGTGTGGTAGCCTTTTTTGAGGTTTTTAAAGACTTTGGTGATTTTTGAAGCTTTTCCAAAACTTTCCCGACACCATGCTTCGCAAGACGACAAAAATCGCAAGACGACAAAACTCGCGGAACGAATTAATTTCGTCTTGCGAGGCACCACTGTACATTCCTTGATGGCACTGTGGAATAGTCACAGAAGTACTCCTTTCTATGAATCAAAACTTATCTATCAATAGATGCAATAGATTTTTTGCTGTTTCTCCATCTTGTAGGCAAGTCTGGTTCTAAAGCACAAAACACTCCAAACAAAACTGGAGGGGACAGATACATTCCTAATCGCAGCGCTATGCAAATGGATGTGGCCAGCTTCCTCTTGACAAAAGAGGAGTCCTCTGATGATACTCCCACCAAGAAGGTGAGTTTGTGATATTAAAGAACTGTTCCTCGTGCAAGCCATATAGAAATGGTGCAGGGAGATATTGACACCCAATAATTGGCAAAGCAGGCTTCCTGACAGTAGGTTAGCAGCTGTAAAGAGACAGGTGATAATACATGCTAGATTTCTGAAACCCAGCTTTTATACAGGCCATTTTGCTCATATTAGCTACAAAATCAAGAATGACCAGTACACAATCCTAGGCTGTGATTTATGGGTAGCTAAGTAAATAAGCTATGTGATACAGGGCAGGAGAGCCTATTTCAGCCCAAAGATTGGATTTGAACTTGTCCACATTTCCAGGGGTTGCTTTCTAGCAGTAGGAAGGGCAAACCAAACAAATTCCACAAGAGAGAAAATGCATGTGCCTCTTCTCTCCCTTGTCACAAGCAGGTAGCACACATGTATGCTTGCACCTCTGCTAGCTCTTTAGAGAGGATCTCTTAAGTTCATGCAGAGAGATTGTATCTCCAATCTTAGTGTTAAGCATCACATCCAAGATCAGAGTTTTTAGGTAAAAGGTAGCATTTCTCCTCATGCCCCCTCCAGTGCCAGTGAGGGTGGATGGAAATGCTGCCCTTTACTCTTATCTCCAATCTTAGGATGGTGGTGTTTAGCGGATAAAATTACAGAAGACTGACAAATCTTCACCTGCTTCCTGCTTTACAGTATATTGGCTTGTGTGGGTGACGATGAGGTAAGATGTTATGCCATACAAACCTTCCAGCTCTGATTTGGCTCTTGTTGCTCATGTCAGCCTGCAGGCATATAATTGCTTAGCTGTCTATACTGTAAGAGCAAGGGAGCTGGGAACCTTTGGCCTTCCAGATGTTATGGGACTCAAAACTCCCATAAGTCCCTGCCAGCATGGCATGTCGCTAGGGCTGATGGGAATTTGAGGTCAGCAACATCTGGAGGGATAATAGGTTTTCCATTCCTGTTGTATGACAAACTACTAATTCATTTTTATTTTTTTAATGGGACTGCTTTTCCAACCCAAGGAGCATCAGAAGGCCTGGGCAATGAACCTGAATGGCTTTGATGTAGAAGAGGCAAAAATCCTGCGACTGAGTGGAAAGCCTCAGAATGCCCCTGAAGGTAGGACCAGATGCTTTCCTTGTGGGTGAAAGACACTGAAGGTATTTTTGTTGTTTAGTCGTGTCTGACTCTTCGTGACCCCATGAACCAGAGCACGACAGGCACTCCTGTCTTCCACTGCCTCCTGCAGTTTGGTCAGACTCATTTTAGTAGCTTCGAGAACACTGTCCAACCATCTTGTCCTCTGTCATCCCCTTCTCCTTGTGCCCTCTATCTTTCCCAACATCAGGGTCTTTTTAGATGGTAGAAATAGCAAGGATTCTAAAGGGATGCCCTAAATGGCTTTGGCCCAGTATACCTAAAGGAGCGTATCCACTGCCATCGTTCTACCCGGACACTGAGGTCCAGCTCCCAAGGCCTTTTGGCAATTCCCTCCACGCAAGAAGTGAGGTTACAGGGAACCAGGCAGAGGGACTTCTTGGTGGTGGCGCCCATCCTGTGGAAAGGCCTCCCACCAGATGTCAAGGAAATAAACAACCATCTGACTTTTAGAAGACATCTCAAGGCAACCCTGTTTAGGGAAGTTTTTAATGATTGATGTTTTATTGTGTTTTTAATGTTCTGTTGGGAGCCGCCCAGAGTAGCTGAGGAAACCCAGCCAGATGGGTGGGATATAAATAAATTATTATTATTATTATTTTATTATGCTATGGTGGTGCTTCCTGATAATCTAGTTCATGCGGATGGCACCCTCGCCCTGCTATGCTGTGACTTCAGAGTGAGAATTGTTCAAGGCAATGATGCCTTCCTGAGTGGTAGGAAAGTAGTATTGCCAGTCTGCAGCCTAGCAGTGACTCTGGTTTATAGGCTGCCACTTGTGTAATTCTGTATTATGCTAGTAAAACAAGGTGGTTTGCTTGCATTTTGTTCAAGCTATTAGGATTGTGCTGGTTCAGGTCACCAACCAGAACCCATAGTCTTTCACATGAAACAGCAGCAGGGAAGTCCTTTCTTGAATTAGGGTTCTCCTTTTTAAAAAAAAATAGGATTAACCTCCTTGATGCAGTGCGCCCTTGTACATGTTTGTTTGGAGGTTCCATTTTCCTCAGTGGAGCTCTCTCCTACATATGTATGCAAAGGGTTGCACCCTTAGCTTGAAAGAGCAGCATACCTCAAGTGCAGTGCCTGTGAGGAGGAAGCTTCTCTTGCAGATGGTTTGATCTGTTCATGGTGTGGTGGTGGCCTACCGCAGTTGCTTTGCATTTTGACAGAATTAGCTGAAAACCCAGATGTGTTAGAAGACTTATTAGGCCTTTCAGCAGCTGGGGTAAATGAGTTGAAACTAGATCTATGTCAACTACAGTGGAAGCAAATACATGGTTGACTTTGGTTTGGGCTGCGTAATCATGGTCACTCTTCCCCACCCCAGGATACCAGAACAATCTCAAAGTGCTCTACAGCCAGAAGAACACACCAGGCTCCTCTCGGAAGAATGGTAGATACATAGCCTCCATGTCAGACCGTATTCTGGATGCCCCAGACATCCGCAACGACTACTGTAAGTAGCTACAGTGCTTGTCTTTTATAGGATCCCTGTCAGTTCTGCGATGATGTAACGTGTTGCAGAAGACTTATGCCTCCATGTGGTATTTGCCTTGGCTACTGTGGATGGAGAGGGAGGGGTTGTTAGAGGAATCGGAGCCATGTCAGGCCTTACAATGGGGGGTGGGGAGGTGTGCAGAGGAGGAAGGGGCTAGTGGCGATTCATCTATTGTTTTAGATCTGAACCTCATCGACTGGAGCGCCCTCAACTTCCTGGCTGTGGCTCTGGATAAAACAGTGTATCTGTGGAACTACGAGTCCCGAGAAATAATCCAGCTCATGCAGATGGAACACCCAGATGACTACATCTCCTCTGTGTCTTGGATCAAAGAGGGAAACTACCTTGCAATTGGCACAAGTAACGCAGAGGTTCAGGTAGGGGTTATGCCTCTTTAATGACTTGATTAAGCATTGCTGACTTGACTACTTGCCAAGGGGCATGGTTTAGAGATACTCATGATCTCTACCAGAAGTTCATAGAATCTTAAGAGTTGGGAGGGACCCAAGGGTCATCTAGTCCAACCCCCTGCAATGCAGAAATCTGTGTTATGTGGTTATTCTTTGGGGCCACGAGCTACCAGCAGGTACCCAGCAGGTTGTGGGAACTACTGAAGTGTGGGTATGTTCATGGTTGAGGCATGACTGAGCCTCCTTGAGGCATGACTTTGAGGGCCATGGCTTGGTTGCATTTCTCCAATTGATTTTAAATGGTTTCGGCAAAGTGGGCTTGTCTTGGTATATACTCTTCTCCATTTCCAACCCCCCTGGCAATACTCGAGTTTAGCCAGATGGTTGTACTAATTATTGTCTGTGGTGTTTCTAGTTATGGGACATCCAGCAGAAGAAGCGTCTACGAAACATGGTCAGTCACTCATCCCGTGTGAGCTCCCTGAGCTGGAACAGCCACATTCTATCCAGGTATGGCCCAAATCCCAGACAAAGGGATTCATGAGAGCATTACTTGCTTAGGCTCAGCCTATCTGCAGGACTGCATTCTTCTATACAAACCTGGCTATGCTCTGAGATCTTTGAGGGAGGCCCTTCTGTCACGCCACCCTCACAAGCATGTTTGGTGGTGATGCGGGTGGGGCTTCTTGATGGCTGCTTGCAGACTTTGGAGCCCCCTTCCTAGAGAGGCCAGACCTGGCTCCCTCCTTGTCCTTCTGCTGGCAGGTGAAGACTTTTACTCCAGTAGGCTTCCGAGAACTGTTTTTTAGGAAAGGGCTTTTAATAGTATTGTTGTTTCTACTAGTTTTTTAAAAATATTTTTATGTAGTTTAATATTATTGTTTAATTTCCATTTATTATCTTTTATGTGTGTATCACTTTATTGTCTTTATTCATGCTTGAGGCCTGGTTCTGGGGGGAAAGGCAGGATATAAATATAACAGCAGGAGTACAGCAAAACTGCCTTCTCTGGAACTTTTTTTTCTTTCCTAAGTGAAGAGGTGATATTGGTTGTCCTTAGCACTTGAGTTTGGGTTTATATACTAAATCTTATGCCTCTCTTAACAGCGGGTCACGGACCGGTCACATTCATCATCATGATGTTCGTGTGGCAGAGCACCATGTGGCAACACTTGCTGGCCATACGCAAGAAGTGTGTGGGCTCAAGTGGTCACCTGATGGTCGCTATCTGGCCAGTGGAGGAAATGATAACCTGGTAAATGTCTGGCCAAGCATCCAAGGGGATAGTGGATCATTTCAGCCTGTGCAGACTTTCACGCAGCATCAAGGAGCTGTTAAGGTAAGTAGTTCTTTATGTAGGAGGCACTTGACATGTTGCTGTCAATAGGGAAGATTAACCTAAGACACCTTTCTTCTAGGCTGTAGCTTGGAGTCCATGGCAGTCCAATGTGCTGGCAACAGGAGGTGGAACAAGTGACCGGCATATAAGGATCTGGAGTGTGTGCTCAGGTACCTGCCTCAATACAGTGGATGCACAGTCTCAGGTAGGTTCACCTAGTATTCTCAATGGAAAATAAAGAGCAGTTCAGCATTGGATACTAAGCTGATGCTCAGTCTCTTCAATTTATACATGAGCATGTATTTGGGCTCTTGGTACTCACTGTTTTATGTCTGACAGGTGTGTGCAGTACTTTGGTCTACAAACTACAAAGAACTTGTGTCTGGTCATGGCTTTGCCCAGAACCAGCTCGTGGTATGGAAATACCCATCCATGTCCAAGGTCACAGAGTTAAAAGGTGAGTTCAGATAGATGGTATGGAAATGGCTGAAGTACCAGATTTAGCCAACTTCTAATTTGTGGGTATTGCTGCCACACATGCATTGTTCCTTCCACTTGTCTGCTGGAAATGGCACACCTTTCTTTTTAATATTCCCCAGGTCACACAGCTAGAGTGCTAAGCCTGACTATGAGTCCAGATGGGTCCACAGTGGCATCAGCAGCAGCAGATGAAACACTGAGGCTCTGGCGGTGTTTCGAGCTGGACCCAGCCCGTAAGAAGGAGAAAGACAGCAGCACCAAGAGTAGCATTATCCATCAAGGCATCCGCTGAGCCCACTCTCTAACCTATTGCTTTGTGTACAGAATTTTAAACAATTTAATAAATATTTCACTCTCACTTAAGAAATGGGGTTGGTGCATGGGGTTGATATCTAGGATAGGATAAAAGCAACAGACTGATATATCAAAGTGGATTTAATTGTTGCTGGCTATCTGGCCTGTATCATTTGTAATAAACCAAATAAACTACTGATGGAAGACCAGAGTGCTTATCTTAAATCTAGTGTTTCTGATGTTTCCCAAGAGAATATGCAGCCCTAGCCTATACAGACAACAGATACACAAAGTATGAGGTGTGTTGAAAATGAGGCTTTTAATGTTTTGAAGTAAACAAATGATAAGGTATCTAGTACTGTGCATCAAGGTGTATGGAAATAGTCATGAGCAATTATCTTGGGTGTAGCTAAGGTGCCCATCAGTAGCTGGGCTACTGACAGTGATACAACATGCACTTTCTACCAAGGGCTGTTTAATTCCTTATAGGGCTAAGAAGTGGCTACAAAAGCACTTATGGGGGCTGTAAGACCTTATTGTGGCAGAGTAGTTGGATCAAGCTACTCTGATAATCTGGTTTCTAGATTGTATTCTTGTTCAAATGCTTGCAGTATATATTCTTTCTCCCATACAAATACTGTTCTTCTCAATTAAAAAAGGATCCTTGCTGCTGTGTACTAAAACTTTGTAAGATTTGAGGATAAACAGTGTATGGTGAAACGTATATAATACTTGGTGATTGAATCCTATTGGATTCAATCACCATCTCTTTAGATTCCCCACCCACACCCAAAAGCTTAAAACTATTTAATAGAGTAGCAGGAAGTAGAAACTGTTTGATATGTGCACATAGCTGAAGATGGGAAACATGGGCCACTTAGCTAGAATAAATATCAGAAAGTAGGGAGGGCAACGGGCTACCTTTGTTGTGCACTTTATAGGATTGGATATTGGAAGGAGGTTGTGCTTCTGGGCCTGGGATGATAGTAACTAAGAATGCCTGTATTTTACTGCGAAAAAGCTGGAGCTGAATTAGTGGAAGGCAGTTTGCTACCAGGAACTGAGCTGTGCAGGCAGGCCCTGACAGTGAGGAATGTTTCTGTCTGCCTCATTCCCTTTACAATTTTCCCCCATCCCCAACTATAGACCAAGGAAGTAGATGCATCCATGAAGTTTTAAAGTCCTTGTGCATCTCTCTTTACAGCATATTTTAATACATGTAACCTGTCACTTCCAGCATATAAACAGATGAGATAATGATTAAATCCAGAGGATGTGTTGCAGCTCCATGGTAGAGAATCTGTTTGGCATGCATTGGTGCTGGGTTCAACTGCTGCCATCTCTAGCTAGGGCCTGTCTGAAACCACAGAGAGCCACTGCTGGTCAGTGTATATCAGTGGTTCACAATTGGTGGCCTGTGGATGATAGAGGGTCCGCAGCTCCATTCGCGTAACTACCAGAGATATCAAAATTTTCAATGGTAGGGGGTCCATGACTTGGCTTTTGAAAAACAAGGGATCTGCAGTACTTGGCTAATTGGATATCACTGGTGTAGATAATGGTTTGATTAAAATCGTCACAACTGGGTAGCTTCTTATACTTTAAAAGCTAATTTAGGTGCCCCCTCACAGTGTGATCCTATACACATCAGCTATACACAGCTCTTTTTAAATGGGACTTGCTGCCATAGCCTGCCTACAAGCAGGAACACTTGCAGAATATCTGCAACTAAACTTCCTGTTGTATTTTAGGAGGTATATAGTATTTGAAATCTGTAGATTATCTCAAAAGGTTCCTTCTGCCAATGATTCCATGAAATACAGAATGGCTCTCTGTCACAACTTCAGATGGTAAGAGAAGCTAACTTCAGTAACGGGAATTTGCTTCTGCGGCCTTATCTAAATTGGGATGGACAGCAGTCTCTTGGTCTGTGTCTGAGATATGAAAACTAGGGCTTGTGCATATTATTGACTAATTAAAATAGGTAACCACATTGACCCCTACAGATGCTCTTTGTCATGGAGAACTCGTTACCTGTAATGAAGGAATAGTACAGGAGTAGCGACTGTTGCTGTTATGCCCTGGAATGGGCAGACTTAAGTCAGAACTTGTGTTCCAAGTTCTGGCTTGGTAGAAAGTCTGAGCCACACAGGCTGCTGTGGTTAGTAGAACTTAAATGTTCTAGATAAAAGGCAACATCAAATAATTGTTGGTTCAGCTGTACTGCTGCCTTCCAGTTAAACTCACCTGGCCAAATTGGGGCTGCAGTTAAAACTGAGGATGTTTTCTTAAACTTCACTAAGAGGAAGACTTTTTGCAAACGAAACAGTTGTTATAATATATAAAACTAGTGCTTTGTTCCTGATCCTAAACAAGACTTGAAGCAACTACTCAAGTTTGGAGTGGCTGTTCTAAAACAACTAGAGAAGCATGGCGCTTCCATAAGGACTATTAACAAGAAGACATACTATCCAAAATGTTTACACTTGTCAAATTTGAATAAGCTGCTGTGAGCACTTGTGTCAAGATAGGATACATATGTTGAGCAGTAAATGCTGTTGCCTGTTCAGTAGGGAGCACATGAGAACAGCCTATAGTTTTTAATCATAAGACCACGGAGCTCATTATCCCATATTTGCGAATAGACTGGGCAAGGCCAAACAGTTCCAATAGAAAGCCATACAGGTAAAGTCTCATTTGGAATACACTGTCCCATCTTCATTTCATTAAAGTAAAGGGACCCCTGACCGTTAGGTGTAGTCATGGACGACTTTGGGGTTGCGGCGCTCATCTCGCTTTACTGGCCGAGGGAGCCGGCGTACAGCTTCCAGGTCATGTGGCCAGCATGACTAAGCTGCTTCTGGCGAACCAGAGCAGCACACAGAAACGGTGTTTACCTTCCCGCTGGAGCGGTACCTATTTATCTACTTGCACTGCATGCTTTCGAACTGCTAGGCTGGCAGGAGCAGGGACCAAGCAACGGGAGCTCACCCCATCGCGGGAATTCGAACCGCCGACCTTCTGCTCAGCATGCCGTAGGCTCTGTGGTTTAACCCACAGCGCCACCCGTGTCCCTCCTTCATTTCATTACTCCTGCATTATTAGTAACCAGGTGTTAAACCATAGCAAAAGAACAGCAAGAACAGGCATGCATAGTAGAATAAGCATCTTTTACTATTGCTGAGTAGTATATCCCTAAATTCCCTTGCATCATAATAAAATACTAATTCAGAACAGTGGTGTAAATGTAGAATGCTGTCATAAGCATTAGTCGAAAGTTTCTCACACATGCACTGAAGGAAGAAGGCAGGACACAGCAAGGGATCAGCAGTGGAGAGATTTAAGTGTTACAAAACCTTGTAATTCAATCTAACAATAAACTTTGCTTAAAAGTTTTTAAAACAGGACCATCCTATCTGAAAACTGGCTAAAATAGCTGGTGGTAAAAGCTGTAGTAGTACATCTAGCATTGCTTATGGCACATAATCCAGGTTATGTATTAGTCTAGCCCTAGCACTGAGGTAGAGAGAGACACTTACGTAACCAAGTCACTCTGCAAGATTTATTCCAACAAAATACGCATTCTGCCATGCCTTGGATTATTCTATCCAGCAACACTTGTAGCCACATTTAGCACTATCTATAGGATACTGCACAGATCAAAGATCTGCCATTGTTGGCCAATTCTAACACAGGCCTATTTTGGGTGTGACACACAGTAGCAACAGCAGCGCCACTTTTCAGGCTACAGACAAATAGCACAAAGCAATAGGGCTTCAGGCACAGGATATTTCGCAGCAGCTGGAGCTTGGACAAGAACGTAAATCAGTAAAAAACAGAAAGGCAGCTGGCCTAAAACTTTCCATGTAAGGAAAGGAGAATATGCATTCAGCCTGGCAGGGAGAAAAGAAAGGAGCCTAGGAAACAAATGCACAAAACCTTTGAGCAAAGTTAGCTTTGCTCAAGTCGTGGTCCTCTAGCAGAAGTCACCTGAGGCACGACACTACACTGGGCAAGCCAGAATGTGGCCACTACAATACTTCATAGGTTTTTGATCTGAATTTTTCAGTTATCCCCACTCCTTAAACTAACCCCAACTAAGGCACAAGGTGACTGAAGGGGAGCACCTCATTGGAACTGAATGTCAACATCTGTTTTATAGTCAATATGGCCCATGGAAATGTTTGTTCTTCTCACCCAAGCCTGACCAGTCATGGGTCCAAAGCCTTGAAATCAAGAACAAGAATCACTACTCTCTTTCTGTCCATTTATTTCTGTGAATACAAGTGAGAAACTCAGGTAGAAGGGAGGCACCTCTCCTGAGTCCTCCCCAAGGCTTAGAATACAGGGAGCGTCTGCTCCTTGGAGCAGATCCAGTAATAATAATAATAATAATAAAAAGGCACACAGAGCAACAGCATGCAAGCTGGAAAAAGGTCCTTCTCCCTGGGCTTCAGTGCAGCAAAAGTATCTGTGGTCATCAACCCATGGGGAGCAAGAGCCCAGAGTTATTGCTAAGGTTGTGGGATCAGAGCAACCAAAAACTGGGGAGTTATGTGGAAGGATGAACACTGAGGCCAGCCAAGGCAGCAAGAATGAAGCCCTTGGCCTATAGCACCCCACCTGCATACAGAGCAGGAATAGATCTCTCTGGGGGAGTCAGACCCACAGCAACAAGGGACCACTCACATTCAAGTATGAATGGCAGGGCTCCAATGGGGTAAAGAGAATGAACAGCGGGCAACACAAACTTAGGGAAAGCAGAGGAACAAAATTCCCACCTGGATCACATGGAGTACATAGAACTAAATGGAAAGGTGTGTCCCATCTGGCAGAGTTCTGCTTTGGTCCAGCTCTGGAGGGAGCCCAGCCCAGGGCAGACACAGGCACTTTGAAGACCTTAGGCTAAAACCAGCACCAACAGCCCAAGCAGCCTCTCTCCCCTGGGACAGCTGAAGGCCAGGTGTGAGGGATATAGAGCAGTTGGGAAGGTGGCTTGGAACTGCAAGACAACAGTCTTTAGGCACTTGGTCTTGCTAATGGGCCCAGACATGGGTTCGGTTGGTCCGAGACACCTTGATCCCACCCACCTCCTAGTTGGCTTTGGCTTTGCCGTTAGAAATGGCACCATTCTCATGAAAGCCATTCTGCTGAGGTTGTGTCATGACCTTGGGCAGACGCTTGCCTCTGGTGTACGAATGGTACCAGAAGTTGGAGAAGAGGAGGAAGAAGATAACGCCGTAAATCCAGATGAGGTGGATGAAGATTGGGTACTGGTAGTCACAGCTGGGCATGAAGTAGTACTGGGAGATGTGGATGGAGACGAGCACAAACTGCAACTGTGAGTGGAGGCAAGAGAAAGTTATGGAGTAAAGAAGGCAGCTATATCCCGTTCCCCTACCCACGGGAGGAAATAGACAGCCCTAGGGACAGGTAGTTCAAGCTGGGAGAGGGAGAACACAGAAAGTCTAGCACAGGAAACAATTGCTAAATAAGTTCCTGTAGCTCTTGCCAAGAGAAAGGAAATAAGTCAGACCAATGTCCCAGGCTGGTTGTACCATCCAAAGTTGGGAGTTGTTGGCATGAGTGGCCTGGTCCTCTCCCTTTCCTACTCACCAGTTGAATGGCAGTGATGTGCTTCTTCCACCACAGGTACTTTTGATAGGCAGGCCCTGCAGCTGACAGCGCATAGTAAAAGTACATCACCACATGTACTATCGAGTTCACTAAAGCATGAAATGAGCCCATTCCTCCTGCAGGCCAACAAATAAGAGAAAGATTAAATTCAAATGGTAAAGGAAGAGCTGAGATATGACCAAGTCCTACATACATATAGCAAGACCAGAAAGGAATTCTTCTGGAACATCAGGGACCATGAATATGGTGGTTATGGTGGTAATAGAGTAAAAGAAGTCAGAAATGTTTGTTATTGTTGTCTTTGTGGGGCTTTTTTTTTGGGGGGGGGGGTTCCTAATCATCTCCAGTTAGCATTCTGTGAAATGCTATTTTGAAGTGCCCACGACAAATTTAGATTTCCAAATGAGCCCCCAGGCCCCAAAAAGTTGAGAACCTTTGATATAAAAATTATGCAATATTAACTTTTACCATTCTAAAAGCTCTGTACTTTATTCCAAAAGTTAACAATTCATCACCATCATCTTTCATCATGCAGAGACTCAAGGTGGCTTACAGATAAAATAGAAACAGCTAAAAGCATAGATAGGCCCATTAAAAATCAATTAAATGTTAACAGAATTTACACACACACACACACACACACACACAGAGAGAGAGAGAGAGAGAGAGAGAGAGAATACACGCCTTCCCTAAATCTCACCTGGGCCAAATTTGGCACCCCACCACCAGCTCCAGGGAAGCACTGAATGGTGGAACACATGCAGGAAGGTCACCTGTTCATTCTTCTTTCTTAGGATGAAGATCACCTGGAAGCAAGAGATTAGAGTGAGATGGGCTTTTCATTTTGGCCAGTGGGCCATTACTCCAGAATGTATAAAAGAGAGGAAGCACCATTGCAGACTCCAAATAGTAACAATCCAATCATCTTCAGTGAGCTAATAAATATCAACTGTACATACTGTAAGAAAATGAACAAAAACCACCCTATCCCAATGAAATACCTACTAGTGTTAGTAGAATATAAACGTTAGTCACCATTAATTTGCACAAATGATCCATGTCAGAATAAGTAGGGCTGTCTGACCACATCTGGTAAGTGTTGTTAAGGCCAATACAAATGTGTAGCCATACCCATTTCTGCTCCAAACAAGATACTGTAGGCCTCAAAAAACAAGCACTTACTGTGTCAAGCAGTTCAATGTACTTGGAGATGATGAAGACCCAGGCTACATGGACCATCTACCAAGAAAGAGCAATGTCAGAAATCCTAGTCATCAAAACATAAAGCTCCACCCTACTTTTCTACCCTCATTTTTTCTTCCTTCTGAATCCCCATTTCTCATCTTGAAGTAATCCCACCACAGAATTGCAACATTTGCCAAGCTTGTGCCTACATTAAAAAAACAACAAGAACACTCTCACACATGGGGGAATGTGAGACAAGATATAGGGTTGAAAGAATGAAAGAACTTACCCGAAGGGCCATGGGATTCTGGGATTGGTCCACAGGGTCACACCTCCAAGTGTAACCAGTCAACCAGCCTGACATAAGGAACTGCAACAAGGAGCCACCATTCAGATACTTCTCAATGATACTACATTCACCAGCTCAGCTTTGTAAACATACCCACAAAAATTACAAGCCTAAAATTTGTGTTACTAGTTTTATAAGAGGCTAATCAGCTACGTTTCCATGCTCACTGAAGAGAAAGAGAAGCTTCTTCTCTTTGGTCAACATTAAAATGCAGGCAACTATCCTATTAGCAGGAAAATTAAAATAAAATAAATAAAAGTAGCTTGCTATCGAACAGGCTGGAGGAGGACAGACAAAGCTGAGGGACAAGCTTTCCTTCCTTAGCAGCCACCAGCAGTCCATTCATTCATCTGCATAGAACTCTTAGGTCACCAATGGCTACCAACCTAGTGCCGAAATGGAAGGTTGTACAAGGTACATGTCATACAGCTTCTCTGCCATGCAAATCTCTCTTCTAGGCACTTCTGTGAGCAACCATTGGAACAAAACCCTGTGGAATTTTCAGCTGTCACAGCAATCCAAATCCCTTTTGCACTGTGTTGTGTGTGTGCGCGTGCACACACACACATACATACACGTGCACGCACACACATACATACTGGAGAGGTGTCCCTTCATCCAGGGCTGCCAGCCTCCATAAGCCACCACCTGCAGAGTAACACCAGTGTCACTGCTGACATAGCGTTCCTCTTTCTGCCCATTGAATGGGCAGGCAGAAGGGCTGCTGGCAGCAGTCTACAGAAAGCCCCCAAACAAGGCTTTGCAGGGATAGTGCTGGGATAACCCTGCCCCTATCATGTGCTAATAAGCACTGGGCCCAATCCGGGTCTGATTGCTGCACCAGCTCCATGCTGCCACAATACCCCACCCCAACTTCTGTTGCAGCCACCATGCTCAACAATTAGGTGGATGGGGTGCTAGCTCTGCTTCTTCAATAATCCCCACCTGGTTAGGTGGTGTTGTAAATAACTAACTCTGATGTAATTCTGCATACTGACTTATATATACACACACTTTATCTCCCCATATTTATAGTTTTAAAAATCTGCTTATGTATGTAGTTTTGTCCAGCAATGCCCTTGTACATCCAGTTGCTACAATGCAAGTCCAATAGACTTAATTTGTAACTTAACACTTTTAAAGAAGAGGCACTTCTTAAGATAATTCTCCTGACTATTGACCTGAGCAGGTAATGCTACCCCTGCCAGCTTTAAGAAAATGGAATACCAGTAAGCATGATGCACTCCATCACATAAACACTGACAGAGAAAACATATTTACTGGGAAGGGGTTGTGCAATTCCCAAGTCACATGTATGTACCATTCTGTATAAAAGGCTACAATGGAGACACTAGACAACTGTTGCACGATTATGGCCAGCTGATACTGTATATTTAAGTAAATTACAGCTAGTAGAAATGTGTACATTGTCTGTTAAGCATAGCCTTGCTACACTTCTAGGTCATCATGTGAACAATTCCTGATAGGAAGAGTGAAAGAGTTTATTCATGGAAATTAGCATCCTCATAAAAAACCACACCCTGCATGAACATTAACACCTTAATGTAACCAGACCAAAGGCCCATTGCACAAATGGTTTCCGTTGTCAGGATCCATTAGGTGCATCCCACCCCAAAACCTCTTAACCCCATAAAGCTTTACATATGCCAGGGTGGGAAGGAGTTTGAAACAGACACTGGGGATGCACCACAAGCAGTAACAGCAACATCCCACCAATGGAAGCTATAGCTAATCTATCTAGGAGATGCTTACCTCATAGACTATGTAGAGCGACAGAGCTACCATGGAGGAGTTATAGACAATCATGAACTTCCTGAGGTTCAGAGGTTTCCGGTTGGCCATGATGCGTGGCCCCAATGACAGTACAAAGTAGATATAACCCAGCAAGATGCCCGTCATAGGAAAAGGTGAGCCCATAAGTGGATACGAAGAAATCCGTGGGTCTGAAGGGAAAAGTGGACTGTTCAGAGGTATGCACTGTGCCCAACAACACTCCCTCTGTTATTTTATCAGCAGCCCTATGCATCTAGGGCAGGATAAGTTAAGTGTTTGAGTCACACCGGGACCCTCAAGCTTTTGTTACACCTGGGGCAGGGGAGGTAGCATCTGTAAGGCAGCCAGAAAGTTGACTACTTCTCTTCTTGAGGCCCCAGTGGGTCACTTTGGCTGAGTAAGCCAAACTCACCTGCTTTCTTTATGAAGTCTTGATACATGTTCACCAGTGAGTCCATGGCAACAGTAGTTCAGCTGTTCTGCACAAGAAAGAAAGAGTGAGTCACACCAGTAGTACTTGAATTATCTGCAGGTCCAGTCATACAATGCTTCTACAGCACTGCTCCCCATCCTGCACAGAACTGTCAACTATTTTAATGAAGTAAGCAATCCAATCACTTCCTCTCAGAATCTTCCAACTGCCAACTTGGCCCTCCTCATATGACCAGCTACAGAGCTGAAAAATGAGAGATCACATGATCCTAAACACTTCTTGCTATTAGGCAGTATGATTTTGGGAATTCTGTGCCTCTTGCCCATCTGAGCTCTGCACAAAAAGCATTTGCAGCAAAATGCATGCCTATACAGATATAGGAATAAACTGTTTAATCAGGCACAAGGATCTCTCTATAACAGCCACTCTTCCCCATCCTACAATTGTAGTTTAGAATCACTCCAAGCACATGCTGTACAAGTCACAAGCACATCCCCAATAATGCTCTGCATGAACTGCAGCACAATGCACCTCCCCTCACTCGGTGCAAAATGACAGGCAGCCCTGGATTACCCAAGAAAAAGGAAACGCCTTTTTCAAAATGTTCTTTCACCAGCAGGTACAGAACAAACCTTCTCTGAAGTCACAGATTAGGAAAGCAACACACATGCCAACTAGACTCAAATGGTGAAGGCCAGTTCTGTCATAGAAGCCCTACTTGCCCAGCTTTTAAAAGATTTTAAGGAATTGGCTTGTTGTGCCGATTCACAGAACATCCTCTTGCTTCTGGCCCCATGTAAAAGATGCTTGATTCCTGCACCCCAAGATGGCTACAGGATATTTGCATGGCCAACAGCGCAGCCTCAACAAAACCCATGTATCAGGTTGCAGAAGATCACATCTGTTATTTCAATTCAGGTCCACTAACACATATGCACACACAAAGCTTGTTGCCCCTAAAGTCTGGAGTAGGTTCAAAGACAGCAAGGAAAGTTTAATGGTCCAACTACAGAAGCTCTAAAAAGTTGAAAGTAGTACAACTGATTGTATGAAAAAAGGAAGGTGATTGCTAAGAACAACTGTCCATGGCATAAGGTCAGTTGCCTGCATCATACAAGGGACTGCAAATTGGAGAGTTCAAAGAACAATTTTAAATACAAGTGAATAAAGAATAAAAGAAACAAATGTAGGATTATCAAACAGCAATAGCACCTAGAGATTTTTAAAGGTTTTCATTAGAACTTCAGGCTCACTCTTCGCTTTGATGTACCCCCACCAAAGAGGAAAAGAAAGGTTGAATGTTTGCCTCTTGAAATTCCATTAGACCCTCTGATCTGCTTATTAGACCCCTATAACCATACAAAATCCAGATTCTACATATCATAATCACTGCAGGATTATTACTGTCAAAGCTTGGAAAAATACCCATAAACCAAGTGAACAATCTATTGTTAGAAAGATATATGAATAGTTAAGACTGATTAAATTAACAATAATTGTAAAGACTTCCTTCTCTATTGCAAAGGAGGTCTGCAGACAGAGGGGGAGGTTCCTCACCAGTGTAGTGTGGCACAGCTCCACTACCATTCCAGCAGTAGGAAGGTCAGAAATTAGGGGGGGGGAGTTGGGGAGAGACTTCAGACACCGAATCCCAGGCCTTCTCATTTCCCTGATGTAAAGCCAGAGTTACCGTACCTCAGCTTCTCCCATTGAAGTCAATAGGGAGAGAAAAGAAATCAAGAGCTCCTCCCACCCCACTTTCCACAGTGTTCGTAGTAAGCTGTCAGGGAATTAAAGGCAATAGTTTTTCCACCATGGACTCCCCACCCTGCCTAACAGAATCAGCGTATGAAGAAGTCAAGCTTATAAGCAGAATAAATGGAAAAGTTAACCCAGGAAGGGCAGTAGCCAACCAGGAACATTCATGTTTAAACAAACAAATAAATTATTATGATCCCCTTGTAGTCAAATATAAAATGATTGAATGATGCTAGATTTGATTAATCATCTCTAGCCATATTTTCCTATAGTTTCCAAGTTACACCCACAGACGTTCAAGCAGCTAGGGTTCGGTATCTTTTGCTTCTTCAATCCTATACAAATAGTCCAACCAAAGACTCAGGGGGCAAGAAGCAAGTGCTGCAGGAAGTCCAAAAGATACTGACAAGCCTCATAAGCGGGGTCAATAAATTAAGAAAAACTCTAATCAGTTCCTGAAAAATATGTCTCTCTCCCACTTTGCCAACTGACCCAAGTTTGAAAGGTGCTACGAAGGCCTAACACATGCCTGGTAAAACCTAGCTAATCCCCATAATCTTACTAGGTTTACCAAGAGTAAGCCCCAGACACTGGCTGCTAGTGCAGGAAGAGGGAAATAGTACTAAAGTGCACAAAAACCCATCATACAACAGACATAGCAAGGGAATTAGGGATAACAACATTCTGAGGTAGCTGACCCATTGTTCCTTGCAGAAGCTGAGAGCTAGTGAGCAGGAAAAGCCCAGAGGTAAGCGAAACACATCCCAACAAGCCACAGATTCTACTCTTCACTCCCCTTAAATTGGGAAATCAACCAGGAAGATGAAAGAAAAGCCCTTAACTGCAGCACAGGTAGAAGAATTGTGGTAAGCAAACCATGCCTGATATTGGCAGTTGTTCTTTCCAATCTCCAACATGATAGTTGAGAAGATACTCTAATAGCTGGAAAACGTAGCCAGAGAGGATGGACAAGGAGTTGCAGAGGTGCTTAAGGGGCATTTCTGAATATATTACCCTTACACATCATCTACATGGTTACAATTCAGCACAATTCAGCACAACCACCTTTATGAGAACCAGGAAGTTCACAGAGCAAAAAGGTCCTGGCTATTGTAGAATATGACTCTTGCCTAGGCAATCTAAGCATTCCTCTCAGCACCTGAAGCACACCTCTCAGTACAGTGGTACCTCGGGTTAAGAACTTAATTCGTTCTGGAGGTCCGTTCTTAAACTGAAACTGTTCTTAACCTGAGGTACCACTTTAGCTAATGGGGCCTCCCGCTGCTGCTGCGCCACCCCTGCACGATCCTGAAGCAAAATTCTTAACCTGAGGTACTATTTCTGGGTTAGCGGAGTCTGTAACCTGAAGCGTCTGTAACTCAAGGTACCACTGTATTGTATTTCCCAGAGACAGGAGGTCACAACAACTACCCAGGCACAGTATATGTGCATTCCAAACTATAATCATTTAAAGCATTCCTCTCTCCATAGAGGCTTGCATATGACTGTGATAAGGCAGACTCTGCCCCCAGGCATACAATCCAAAAGAAGTTGTGACACTAAAGGCTCACCCAGGGCAGGATGATTTGAACATATTACGCCAATCCTGGCATGACTGCACAGGCTGCCAGTGAGTTTCCAGGCCCAGTTTCCAGTGAGTTTGAAAGGGCTGGTTTTGACCTACAGTATAAAGTCTTAAACGGTTCAGGACAACAATGCCTCTACGACTGCCTCTCTCTATATGAACTCACCCTGACCCTGAGATCATAATTCAGGGCCCTTCTTTGTGTGCCTACTCCATGAGAGGTCCGGAGGGAGGCAACATAGACCTTTTCTGCAGTGACTCTCCCATCCGTGGAATATTCTCCCAAGGGAAAGCATTCCTCTTCTCCCAGTTCCTTGACTAATTAAATTATACAGTCATACCTCAGGTTACAGACGCTTCAGGTTGCGCTTTTTCGGGTTACGGACCGCCGAAACCCAGAAGTACCGGAACAGGTTACTTCCAGGTTTCAGCAGTCGCACATGCGCAGAAGTGCTAAATCGTGCTTTGCAGATGCGCAGAAGCACCAAATTGCAACCTGTGCATGCACAGACGTGCCACTGTGGGTTGTGGACGCTGCGGGTTGCGAACGTTCATCCCGCTCGGATCACTTTTGCAACCCGAGCATCCACTGTATAAGGCCTTTTAAACTATGGGGGCAGGGTTATTGTTTTTGTTTGTTACTATGTTACGTATTTTTCTCTTTTTATATTGTAAACTGCCCTGTGTTTCTCTGAAGAAGGGTGGTATAGAAATTTAATAAATAAATAAAGGAAAAGAGACTAGAAGAGACGAAAAATTCAAGCACCACTTCTTAGTTTTTTTAATTACCAGTCAGAATGGAAAGCTTTCAAGAGGAGGAACCAAACACTGCTTATATCTCAGCAGTGAATGAAGAGATCCTGAAGTACCTTTTAACTTTCTCTCCTTGATGAAATGGGCACTGCTCATTAATATGTTAAAATAGCTAGGTTCTCCTATGCCTTGATGATCGTATGATTGAAGGTTAAGTCCCAAGTCTGGCAGGTCCTAAGCATAGCACCAAGGCTACTGGCTTGCCAAATCAGCAACGCACAAAGATGATGCAGGAATTGCTGTTCTTTCCTCTATCCTATATTGGCCCAACCTGCTCAGCCTGTTTGGGAGAAGGAGTGAATTGAGCTCGGCACCCGCTCACACAGCAGCAGCCCGGCCCCACTGTAGCCTTAAGAGCAGCTGTTTTGTATAGTCAGACAGAAAATACAGCACAGTCTTCCTTATCCCTTGAGTAAATGGGGAAATGCAGGGGAGACTGCAAAAATCTCAGAAGCCCATTACCATACAAAATATGGCCATATTGTATTGTCCAAGTACCATCCACCTCAGTCCACTACATAACCAAGTTATCAGGTCAGACTGGAAGGACAGCCAAGGTAGGAATCCGCCCCAACTGCATTCTGGCAGGTTGCTGTGAGGGGTCTTAAAACAGAATCCCAACCAGGGCCTGGGGGAGAGAAGTGCTTCAGTTGAGATAATCCTCCTACTCAGTAAAAAACGAGGTTCTCAAAAAAACAAAAAAACAAAGCAAGTGAGATGATCAAAGAGCAAGGGTCAGGACACCATCAAGGAGGATGGGAATCATCCCTCTGAGCTGTGACTACAAATGCAAGGGATCATGGCTATAATTCAACAGGAATTATATCCACCATGTGCTTCCCAGTGGGAATCCACAGAGATTAACTAGA